CCGTGTCACTGTTCTCGGTTACCCCATCCTCCTTAGAGCGGGGTCTGCTTGTCGGGTGTAATTTCTCCACTCCGTTCTGAAGGTCCTTGGACGCAGTGGCTGCTGTGGGACTGCCTTCATTTGTCACGTCTAGCAGTGTCTCAAAATTAACCTCACCGCTGGTTGTTGCGGCATTCAGTTGCCACCAAGCAGGGGTTTGCAGCTCCAAACTGTCCTCCCGTCAGCATACATTCCTCTTAGCACTGAACAGAATCACATGCGTTGTATTAACCTGGTCAGACCGATGATTGTCACAGAGATGACTGTTGATGGCGTAGACATAGTCCAGCGGGTTTGTGGATCCGTGGTAGACAGCCCGATGAGGCTGGAAGGCCTCGTACATGTTGCGGAGATACGTGAGCTGTAATGTAGGTCAGCGAGGTAGTCAGCCTAGTGTCATCCTCTGCATCTATCAGGCCGCCGCTTTGATGCTTTTCAGCATGATATTAATGTGTCACATGATAAATAATCACATACCAATGCTCCCACCGTGCAACCCGCTCGTTCATAGTCTTGGTCCCATTGGCTACACAGTTCAGCCACCAATGGTTTCTGTAGGGGTTGTTAGCGAGTTTTTGGCACCATCCAGTGTGCTCACGTACTGCGATCTGCCAGTAATCCTTCTGCTCGAGAACCGACACATTATCTGGGCTGCAGCCGATCTGTTCAGCAGACGTGTCCACAGCCGATCCATAGCATTGGACGTGCAGTTTTCCCCTTGATAATGTGGGGTTCTCTTTTGACTTGGTTTCTTGTATGTCGCAGATTGACATTTTCCTTTGTTTGTAGAAACTACACAACCATTTAGAAGACCGTTGACGTATTCCCTGCGCTGCCTTGGGAGCGAGTCCATGGCCGGCTATATACCCATGCCTCACTCGCCATTTTCTATGCTCCCTGTGGTCGGCAACTATGGCACGCATGGCGTGTCTCCCGCCGAGAAGTGGCGGGTGCCATGGTTCCCTCCTGTGTGCCTCGAAAGGATCGATCCACAGACAAAGCCAGACATGAGTGTTCAGTTTCCGCGATGCTACCCCACCACGCCTCAAGGTGATTGGGGTTACAGATTGGCAAGGTAAGAGAGATCTGAGACATAGGTTGCAATGATGCATCCATGAGTCGCCAAAGCCCCTGATGTTTCCATGGCTCCAGATGTGGAACCCCTGGTCGATCGTAGATGATATTACCAAACAAGATCTCAGGACCACTAGAGCTGATTGTATGCCGCAGATCAAGGATACCCTATACCCCACAACGTCGCTCACAATCCCTTCGCAAGACTAGAGTTTGCGCCATTTTCACGTCTTAGAACTGCGGAAACGTAGCCCTTTGAGCGGTTTAATGTTTCGTGGGAAAAGACGTGGAAGGCCTATTGGTATACATCATAAGGTATCTATACCAATTGCATTTTATAGAAGAACTTTTAGTAAAAGATATCCTCTCATATAGTTGTTTAACCTTTAATATCAGAAAAAGAAAAGAACCCTGAGCCATGGAGCAGCAATCCACGTGGTGCGGTTTAGTGCAGAGTTTGATATGGGGTAATTTACGGAGTCTATGATACCAGGTATTACAATATTAAAGGCTTGGCGTAATTGGTACTTAGGTTTCATTTTACTCTTGGCAAGCTTTTTGTAGTGTGTACAACTCCTATACTAGTACAGAGAGTGTGAGAAGACTGGGACAAACCCTGTGGGGATGACTGTGCTCCATATATTATCCTTTCTCTGAACCTTTTCATCTTTAATAGGACCACCGTGGGAACGGTGGTTCCGATATGGAGTAGTTCTACTCACGATCTGTAAGCGAGCCGACCCACAGGGATCAACAACCTATCTCAGTACGACGAGCGACGGTAGGTTTTTCTAGACCATACAGGACCAGTATACATTGCGTCATCACTTAAGGACATTGACTCGGTATGCGCCGATAGATCTGACACGGTTGAACTATCTCCCGCAAGTTTAACCTAGTTTGTATTATTCGCAAAACTCTCTTTTAATTTTTTCTCCTCATGCAATGAAGATAGCCAGCGCCACTGAATAGATAATCGGCGTCAAGTTACTGTGTACTGACCACGATTGACCACTGAGAGCTATTACCTGTCTTCAACGTGGCGTTGTTCTATTCCTTTCAACAATCTTCTAATTACATAATCTCCTGCCAGTTTCGGAGCCCTGTTTCAAAATCTCGGTCGTTGAATCGCACCGATTTCTGACAAAAGCTTAACGCAAATAGCTGATAACTGATAAATCTTCTTTAGTAAATAAAGTATTATCTTTATGGACCGTTTAGCGGCTGGATCATTCTATATACTGGGCCGATTATTCAGTAGACCCGCCAGCTAGTATCCCCCGCCTTAGATATCCATAACTCATATCCACACTAACCCCTATACCAGCAGACGCTACTCCGTAAGCCACTCCATGCTTGTGAATAGTTAAGGGAACAACTATATTCCTCAAAAATTCAAATCTTCCAGGAAAATAAGATACTACCTATTATCATAACCTGTTGGTAGGGGATTTCGTCTGGCGGCCCTAAGTGGCCCGGAAAGAGGGTTCTTCCGGCCGCTAAGCGGGTCTCCGCCTACGCCCACAACACCTAGTTGAAAGCTAGCCCGAGATAGGAATTATAGCATAGTGCGGAGAATTCAATTGAAGCATCAATACCAACATGGGCTATCTTTCCCACTCTGATATAACCTATGTTAGAAGGGCAACTCAATCAACTAGAACAGGAATTTAAGTAGTTTCCACTTTTAGTATACACTAACTTGTAAAAACGATGCCCAGGTGTTGTACTCTCTTCTTTCCTTCTATGCAGTTTAAAATGCTCCTTTACCCACTTTACATACAATGCACATAGCATTATATTAAATTAGCGTCGCCACCCAAGAATTGTGTGCGGCTTGTACCTCTCGCCTTCGTAATATGCGGTATAACCACCTCGGTAATCTGGCTGTCAAAATATGATTTGCCATTTTTTGCTGGTTGTTCGAAGGTTAAAGACACAAATGGGGGTAAGCCCGCTAATTTCGGAAACTCCCCCTCCAATCCCGTAAATATCCTTGCTTTCCAGGGTCTGGATTGTAGGACACGTGTAGAAGGAATATTTTGATGTAAAAGTTGCCTTTTCAAAGAGCTTTCGAGTTTTTTTACCCTCAAGGTCCATCGTCTCTGCACCTTTCGCAATGACGTAGACATTGAGTATAATTTTGGGGATTGTGAGTTTCTGATTGGCAGCATTTCGCCAACTGGTCTTGGGTAGAGTCATCTCGTAAGTTCTTTTATTGTATGAGTGGCGGTTTCTCAAGCTTCGAAGTAAAGAGGGCATGCCATCATGAAATGTGTTACCTGAAAGGTCGTTGGTATGTAGAACTATGTAAACCGGTCGCTTTCTTCCTGTCTGGGCAGCCACATCATTTATGTGAGAGCCAATAAGGACAGGCTCAGCGCCATAGCCAATTGCCTTTTTTAGCCATCATCTTTGAATATGGCTCTCCAGAGACGGTGTGACTGATTCTCATCAACGAAGCCGAACGAGTCTCCCATAGCTTTGACCTGAAAAGGGGATAGGAATTTGGCAATATTGTCAAGTATCTCACGCGGGGGGCTTCGCATCTTGGTAGATCGTTCAGAAGGACAAGTGAAGTTTGGTAACAATGACCCTGCACAAAAAGGATCTGGGGACAGGTAGTGTTTTATAGTAGAATAAGTAATTAAGGCGTGCGCTCACTACTTGTGGAATGTCACCCTTAATAACAGGACAGTAGCGAAAGATACAGAGATAGGCGTAGAGAAGCTAGATAATATGCCAATTAAACAAGGATACCTAGGTGGAGCATGCTAAAGGTAGTCAGCGTCACAGAGTGAATGGTGATGGTACCTAATGGCTGTGTTGTATATAGATAGCTCAGACACAGACCGGGCACTTCGGTGACTACATCCGCCGGCTTTCCAATAGCGTATTGTAGACTATATACATGGCTGATCCTATACAGAGAACCTGAGGCCTTTCTTATTATATATTGGTGGTAGAGGTAAAAACTAATCTTCTATCTAGTGTCTGCCTTTTTACCTAAGAATCCTGACCTACCTGACAAGTCTCCTACCCTGATGAGTATATATTCACTAACTGCTAGTAAATAGTGATAGGTAGGAAAGCTGATTCTTGAACCTTTATTATGACTAATAGATCTCTAATTTATAATGAAGACTCTACAGTAAAGGGTATTAGGATCCTCTCTGTACTAGATTATCTTAGTATATTGTCTACTAGTTACTATTAAAAGGCTGTTCAGTGGCCGGGTTATTTATATATAATAGGTAGGATAAACGGGTTAGCCAGGTGGCTGAGTGGCTATTTAAACAATGATAGAATATGTATCTATAGATAAGCCGAACTGGGTGCATAGATATATGGCATTCTATATTCTAGTTCTTGAATACAGTGACTGCAATTGTATATGGAGTAATATATTTTGGTTCAAGTTGTGTATCATTGTCATGTGGCCACTTGTTGGGGTCCATATACAACGACAAGACTGTTATTGTTGCTACTATTTCTTTGACTTATATACCAGCCTTGAAGCATCCTCTGCCCAGGCATTGTTCTGGTGTTCCCAGGCGCTGTTTCTGTCTTTCTTTCTTTTTCTTTGCCAATTATGTGTAACTCTAAGAGATTCGTATTACTCTGTTGAAACCTTTAGGAAATCTTTAGTTCAGAGACAAAACCAGGAAGTATACAATCAATTGCGTCTTCCTATAACGGAAGTTTTGACTTTTAGCGGTTGACTGAAGTGACTCAACACCAATGATCTCATCATAAATGAATGGTAAGAAAAGTCAAGGGCAAAAAAATATAATGTAGCTGTCTACTAGATGTCGCCAACCAAGGCTCAAGGAAGGGAAAGATCTGTTACTTTTAATAGATCGGGCATCATCACTAACAGGGGCTTATTAGGTAGCGTGTTGGATTGCATGAGCAATACGCAACTTTCTGCGAGCCTGCAGCTGTGTAATCCGGAGACCTTGGCGCCGAAGGATCCGTTTGGTGCAAGTCTGACAATCATCTCGAGTATTGACACCGTCGCCGGCAAAGCCATACATGGGGGTGAGTCCCTGGCGGTGCATGAACCACCGCACTGGGTGGGGAAAACCTCCAATGGAGTACTGCTGTCCGTCTGCCAGTCGAATCGAGAGTGCGATCTTATCATCCATATTCGAAACTGAAAAGCGCACCGGTACGCAGTAGCGGCTACACCCTGGGCAAATCGAGCCTTCAGTCACACTCATGCCCAAGGGCCGGCTGCCAAGGACATACTCCTTTCGCGAGGTATCCAAGCGGCGGAGAGCACCAAGAAATGTTTGCCCAGGAACACGACATCGGATTGAACCTGTACATCTATATGATGCTCCATCATTCTCACTATGTGGGGCAGATGTAAGTTCGAAAAACAAGCTTTGAGCAAGGAGACGTATGAGGCTTTGGCGGCCGTGGTCCCCCACTCCCTGCTTGATGGTCTGCTGGATGAGGTCGTCCATTCGATGAGCAGCATTCAAGAGAGGCTCAGGACCTGTAAGCAACACGTCGAGCCGGGTGGATGCGTCTCGCACTGAGCGATCGGCCTGATTCCAGAAGCGGAGCCAAGCGGCCGCACCGTCCATGCTGTCCATGAAGCTGGATAACACCGGCCGAAGAAAGTGCTCGTGAGGGGCAGTGCCAGAGAGTGGGGTAGTTGTAGACCGTTCTAGGCGGGCACGATCTCTTACGCCCGTTCCGATCGACAGGAGACAGCCGAGAGGTGGCCGCCAGGGCCACAGGTGTTGCAACTCGACCTGGAAAAGTTCTGCGGGCATGTTGTGCCTCAAGCCACCATCCCAGCAGTCGCCGAGCGCCGCCAGGGCAAACGGCCGAAAGAGGCTGGATTATGTTAAGCCGAAGTATCTAGTAACGTGTGGACAGCCTAGCCTTACCCTGGAACAGCCGATGTGGCGCGGGCACTTGATACGGCTTGTTAGCTGAACAAATTGGACCATCGGGTGGCGATTCGTACTGACCATTGCCAAAGAAGCGGCTCCTCGTCCGGAGTATGGGCGATGAATTCACGATAGCCTGCAACGAAGCTTGTGATTAGTGGACTGGATTCTGGTAATAGTGGTGCAGATAAAAACCAGAGTGAATGGATTGTCAGATGGGTTGAAATATGCCGGGATCCAACGGAGGGGAAGGGAGGAATGAAGAAATGAAAACCCTATTTTTCTGAGTGAGCTGAAACTGGGACTATTACCCGCAGTTTCCGGCCTGTGGACAGCGGGTTTGTAATTGGTCAATATCACTGGGCCATGCTGGGTGGTGGTGGTGACCGCGATTTTGGTACTCGTTGGTACATCCGGCCCAAAGAGTCGCCTTGTGCAACTGTAGTGTGTCCGCAGAAGCGATTCAACCTGGTTTGTATCGTACAACCCACGGTTGGTGACACCGCGTATGATCTGACGTGGCCATGAAAGAAATCGACAGCCGTGCTGCTGGCTACTGAAGAAACCAAATAGAAGACGTTGGAAAGCCTCAAAGCAGTGAAAAACACTCTTTCGCATGGCGAAAATATCTAACACAATGTAGCCACCTGTGCGCGTCGATATAAGCAGTCACACTGGGTCAGCCAAGCACGAGAGATGGGGACAACGGGAGGTCGGAAGCTTACGGCGGCGCCGCCCCCCGGGGGAGGGGGAGGAGAGACATACCTGCACTGGTTCCAAATGCGACGTCGATTAGGTCGGGCAGTGGACAGTGCGGGCCCAGTAAGTTTTGAAGGGTCAGCAGAATCTGGAGGGAAACGATCCCGCGGATCCCGCCGCCGTCGACAGTGAGGGCTCGCACCGCCGCAGTCCGTGGCAGAAGGACTATTGATGTCAGGCAGGGCTGTTGGCAGAGCGGGCAAGCCTCAAGAATATACGTAGATTCTTCCCGCGGTGGAGGTTGACCATACCTCTCGACACACGCGTCGCAGAGGGCATGACCACAGGCAAGGGAATGCTGCGGGCTAGAGAGTAGACAACCTAGACACGTTTGATTACTGAAAAGGCTCTGGAAGACTAACCGATGTTGCTCCTGCTGGCCTTGATGAAGGTCTAGGGCCGACGCACCCCGATTAATCATGTCAATATGACTATCGATCACCCGCGACTCCAGGGATTGCACTCGATGCACGGCAGCTGCGCCGCCAACCACTGGCTTGAGTGCATCGAGGCACGGCTGCCGGTAGCGCTGTCGGAAAAGATCAATTGGATGGAACTCTGCACCACGAGCGTTAGCATTAGCCTCTGAAGTGTACGAGCTGGGATACTGGGTGTGATGATAGCGGCGCGGATCCAGCCTGCACTATCACTAGGCCATAATACCATGCATGTTTGGTGGAAAGGCATCTAACATCAAGCTGGAGGATATGATGATGTCCTGAGCCTCCACTGCCACCTTGTTTCCTTGGCGCAGAAAGTGGCCGATGTGAAACGTCCACTCCAAGGGGCGAGGCGGAGGTCGGGCTGTTTCAATGAGATTGAAAGTCCTGTCATGAGCCTGCGCGGTGTGTCGGATCGCTTTCTCCAAGAGCCCTGGTAGATGAGCAGCCGAGAAATGTAGCCCACACTCGCTCCGATCCCGCTCCATTACATCCAGCGCTTTGAACAGTTCTTCTTTCAGTGGCCGGTACCGGGCCTCATCCGAGAGCACGGAGGCTGACGACACATACAACATATGAATTCCAGCAAAGACTTCGGGGGCGTCGGGTGGCGGGGCGAGAACGCCAGCGAGGTGGGGATCCCCAAGGGGCTCATCCCCGCTGGTGACTTCTTTCGTCTCTACTACCACGAGAAGGCGTGGACGGAGTGCTGGCTGCGTCGCCTGTGGCCCGATAGCGATCCAGCGCCGTAGGAGGGCCTGCACCCCCACCAACCCGCCGATATCTTCAGCAAAGATGCAAACTACATGGGATGCTGGTAGCAGAAATCTTGTCACCATGGTGTCGACTACCTGTGCGCCACTGCTAGATGCCCAGGCAATGGGAATCTTTTCAACGCCCGCCAGGCCACCGATGTCTGGTGGCTGCGGGGATTGGTTGGGGTCTCCATCTGTAAAGAGAATCGGGCGTCCAGAGTATAGTGTCCGATGGTCCACGCGTAGCCTGAAGCCGAAGGTTGAGATGCTGTTTGATGGGTTGTCCGCAAAGAGGGAACGCAACGCTCTATCCTTCTTACCCCGGCCCAGGAACGAGACCAAGGCTGGATGACGCCGGTGTGGTGCGTCGGTCAAGTGTATCAACTGTGGTAGGCAGTTCGGATCATAGATCAGGGATGCCCCCACTTCCTCTGTAACGAATTGGAACCAAGACTGTTGGCGTTTGGGGCGCATTGAGCAAGATGCGCAACTGATCAAAGAGCTGTTGATGCCGGACTTCTACGTGACAACCTCCTAGTCAGTCCACAGGCAGAGACAACCTTATATAATAAGATCATAAACAGCAGCTCACCTTGACGGCCGTACCGGTCGCAATGTCCCAGGCGCTTACAGCGCTTTTTCACCATGGTCACTATCGCCATTCCGTTTATTTTCTAGGATGAAGCCGGTTTCGCATATCCCTGTACACATTTTATGCTAGATGAACGCACCATAAAAAACTATAGGAGAGAGGAGTGTTTTCTATTTGGCAAATTTTGGGTGTTAGATGTTTTATTTTGGATACCCGTCGGGATGATCAGGGTTTTAGCTCCGACTGCGGAGTCCACTGCGTGATCACCCGTACGGCGGACTGATCCTGCAGCTTATGTCGTCAGGCTCATCTTATAGAAAGCCTAGTAAGGTATACACTACATAAGTGAAGTCTGAGTCGTGATGGTCAGACTTGATAACATGTAAGTCACCTGATTGGTCGCCTAACATCATGTGACCCACAACACCTCTTAGCTGTGTATGTAAACACAACGCTTAGATGGTATCATCAATCAATTAGCTTTCTCACTACCATCTTGGAACTTAATAGCCCTCACATAACATAACTAGTTACCTTACTATAAGGGCCAAAGAGCATATTATTACCAGCTACTCAATTATACGACACCCACTCCGGCAGCTACTCCAGACGATATCATTCAGGGAGTACACAAGATAGATGAGCTAGTGGAATTGAATAAATAGTGCATTGCTGTCGCCGTCTAAAAATGATTATGTTGGTGCTATCTTATCCTAATTTAAAGCATGAGAAAGGGACGGAAGCAAGTACTAGTTAAGGGTACCAAGGCAGTTGAATATCCCACCTTCTTGTATCCATGGCACTTTGGGTCATGTGGCCCTGAACGCAACGGTACATCCAAAGATTACCACAGCGACGCACATGGCCCCTACACTGTACTTTCCTGCTGGTCCCTCATCCACAGCGACAATCAGAGGTAAGCTGCTCTGGATGACCTTCTGAATTGCTGACTGAAGCCCGAGCACAAAGATAGTTGAGACAATAAAACAACCAAGGCACCCTGCGCTGGACATCACCATAACTGCCCACTTTACCCATTTGTAACTGGACCATAGTCCCACCGTGAAGAATATTGTTACGAACATGTTAATAAGCACCAGGCAAAGCCCAACTAAAACTGCAGGCCGTGCACTTCCCAGAACCCTACCGGCGGCCAGATCTTCAAAATGCTGCAGACGTTCGAAAGTGTCCCCAAGAATGGATTCCACTGGCGCTGGTAACGTAGTGGATATATTTGCGGGAAGGGGGTGGCATTCTGTTCGGTTTGAACTAAACCCGATACACAGCTGCTGGGTGCCAATAGATATCGATTCAGGGATGCTATCGAGTACGGGATGTATTCCAGGTATATGGGCAGCTGCTGTCGCGAGGGCTTCAATTCCTTCTGTTACCATTGTGGGTACTCCAATAGGCTTGGTTATTACCGCGGTCGGTACACTTTCGACAATACTCTTCATATTTTCATTTAGGTCTTGTGCACTGGGCGGTAGAGGATCAGGCAGCTGGCGAGGTTTCATGGTAAGTGGCTGTGGAAAGTGGTTTGTCCAGTTAACCTGGAAGAGATATCAGCATAAGCGCAAAGAGCATCTCAGTATTGGCAAGTACAACGAACATGAATGGTTGCAATCCCTCGTTTCTTTACTGTTGGACTACATAGGAAGGAAATAGCCAATATCACCGCCACTAGCGATGCTACGGAAAGAACGATGAAAATCAGTACTGCCATTCGCTTTTTCCACAAACCTCTCCCCTGCGAGGTGACCGGGGACAAGGCATCTTCCATTCCGGATTTATGATCGCGTGATATAAATGTAGTCTGATTTTCTGGCCCATTATATGGCCCTGCGATTCGAACTCGAGTAACTGTTTCTGTAATCTTTGCCATCCCAGGCTCAGAAAGCCGGGCATGCATTTTCAAAGACAAAACGCACTAAAAGCCTTCACAGATAGAAGAAAGATATATACCGATAGAAGAAGAAATCACACACGAGAATTTATGAGGAAAGGTAGCTGAAAGGGGATGGATCAGCCTTGTTTTATATTAACAATAAAGGAGATCTTCTAGGAATCTATACGATGCAATCGTGCCTTTATATTGCTGACCCAGGGCTGGTAAAAAATGTCGAAAGATACCCTTATCTTTCTAGACCTCCGGGATTATAAAGTGTGTCTTTTGTCTTGTTCAGTGTTCTATATATCTCACATCCTAAGTATAAAAACATTGGTTAACTATATAGAAGATGTCAGATGGTCACGTAGGTTGAATTCCTTAATTAGATTGATTATGTTGCTTCCGTTGCTTGAATCTATTAATATGACTGCGGATGAAATCGCTTAGGAAGAACAATAGCGCTAGGCCTAATTAGGCGCATCAACAGAAGGTGGGCCCATTTAGCGGCCGGAAGAACTACTTTCCGGGCCACTTAGGGCCGACAGACGGAATCTTACTCTCCACTAACTCCACTCGTAGCAACTAACCAAGGCTACCTTAGTGTATCACCTGTGGTAAGCTAAGCTAGTTGTAGATTAGTGCCGACATAGGTCTCTAATTTCTAGTTAAATATAATTGGAAGATATGTACTTTGGATATTGCCTTTCACATGCTTCAGCATCTATACATACTACAGTTAAACCGGTTGTTAGAACCTTTTTTAAATCCCTTACCCAGTGGGACAAACCATTATCAATATATATTTCCGCCCATCCTCATAATAATTCTTGACACATACACTTATTTCTGTTAATAACATCTACTGTGCCATGTACCGAAAGAAGAGGAGCATTCCAGGCCTTCGCAATGTCTCTCGGCGTCGGGAGACTATTTTCAGAAAGTGCAGCGAGCTCAGTCAATTTGGCATTGATGTGTGGGTAGTAATCTGCGCTGGAGCTCGGAGCTCCGTTTTTCGATCTTCAGAATCTGAATTATTCGACTCTTTAGACCGCCAAATAGTACGCTGGCATTTCCCCCCAGACATAATTGATCGCACAGACACTGACGATAACTTACTCAGATGCGTGCATCTCATCGCCCGACTTGGAAAGGACTCCGTGATTATGATAGGAGACTACGCGAACGCCGTCCCCTAAGGTTGATTGACCGGCTCGAAGTGGATGTTCCTGCTATCGCCGGTGACCAGAAATAGACTTTCCGCAGAGCTATGATGCCCCACTGGTTTAAGCTACAGGCAGAGGTTCTCTGGCCTGGATCTTATGAAGTCTGACGGGGCGGGCCTCTTTAAATATCTATAGTTGATAGCAATCAGTTCTAGTATTATGTTGATGTTGCGTTACTTTTAATAAAGTTAAACATTCCGACACAAGCCCAGCTGGAAAGAATAGTTATAGATCATATAAAGCAGCTGATAGAAGAAGGGCTGTGAATATTAATAATATCTGGATGTAGTTTGCCTCGCATATCAACGACTACACATACTATATGACTAGGGCATGAAGCGGAAAACAATTATCCTGATGTTGCAAACTGACAACCAAACGGTGCGGTGTTTTATTATTATGAATGAATTCTGTTGTTGGTATTGTTATGTATGCTTAAGTCAGGTTAGGCCCAGTTATCACGACAGTAGATCTTAAGTGAGTCGGCACTGCTGTTGGGTGAACAGGACATAATTCACCCTGTATAAGAATTGCATATCGATGACTCTGATGACTTTGGGAATACTGGGCGAATAAACGATCCACACGTGCAAGTGGCAAATAGAAGACGGTAGCAGGGTTACCAATCTCATATAGAATGCCCTTATCACCAGATAGTGTTTTTAAAGGTGCCTCGAAGTCCTGTGGTTCCTGAATTGTCTTTTTACCAAGTAGGCCTAGCCCTAGTGCTGGCTGTTCATATTCTAAGGACATATTTAAGGAACGGGTACTTGAAAGAGATTTAGTACTTGAATCTGAGGAGTAATTGAACGGGTTCAAATTTCTATATTGTGTCATCTCAACCATCGTGGTCAATGGCGCTGGTGACTGTCTTCTGCTGGATAGCGCTGTAGTGGTCTCGTAGACTGAAGCGCTGTACGCTGTGCCTGGCGGTGGGCTAGTAAGCGGTGATGTGAGCAATAGTGGCTGGTGAGTAGAATTGCCCCTATTGTCTACGGGACTGGCATGCCTAGAGAGACCTGCGGCTATTGGAAGGATCGTTCCCTGGCTCGAATCACACTCATCCGATGCAGAGTGTGACATTTGACTCGGCTGCTCGGGTAGGCTATCAGGTACTGTAGGGTCTGTCGTGCGCGAATTCCCCCTTATCGCCCCTGATAGTGGTGGTAGATGCCCCAAGAAAGCTTGGAAGATGTCCCGAGCTACTGCAAATGGGGTAAGTGTTTGTCCTACAGGACAATCCACCTCTCTATCCACACCATCTAAAGTCAAAAACCGGCGGCTAGATAGAAAGGATGATTCAGAAGGCATCCCGCATCGACTGTGCATCTTCCAATGACCTATCTCTGGTTGGGTCATACACGGCGTTTCTGAAACGGATTGGGTGTGTGGTTCTGAGGTCGCCGCGACGCCTAGATGTAGTAGACCACGGATTTGGGGAGAATCAAAGCCTAATGAGATGGCAAGGCGGGAGAAGGTGACCCAGCGTCGTTGCGATTCCTCCTGGGACCGGTAGATGCTTCTCTCTGCACCTCGGTGGTCGAGCAATGGCATTGTCCCGACTAAGACGGGAAAATACTGCATTGTATACAACCAAAGACGCCGATATGCCTGCAGAAAGCCTGAGTGGTTACTATGTCGGGACCGTCGCCGTGGGCGAAATTGATGCCAGAGAGATGTCCGGATTGTGTCTCTCGGGCCATCCGGAATTAGCCTGCGCAAGGCCAAAGCACAGGGTAAGAGATACTTTGTGTCTTCCATGAAGGTGTACATCGAGGGTATTATCCTTCGGATAGATAAAAGTCGACGTCCGAGTGCTTTACGTCTCTCCTTGTTTGTCACCCGTGGCATTAGGGAACCGGATCTGAGTAACCGAGAGATGTACTCATGGTCATTAGTGGACCACACCGGTGACCGACCTTGCAGCAGTTCCACCGAGTTGGGATCCAAGTCTCCTATGTTGCCAGCCCCCATAATATATGTCCATGTATCTAATATATGTCGAAGGTAGTGAGCAAGCTCCTAACGTTACTTAGGATCAATGACTGTAGTAGTTGGTTGAAAGAATGGGAGACACACATCAGGAGATTTCATACGGAGCAGTCTATTCATATTCCCCACCGTGAACCCGGGCTGCAAGCTGTGATGTTGAAGCACTTGAGCCAGTATGTCAAGCATTGGCCGGTGTTGCTTGCGGGAGTAGATACGCTCAATAACACTTCGCTCACTTGTACTTAGACGGGAGAGGCACTTTCGTGTTGTCAATGCTATTGGCTCGGACTGTGATTGAGGAAAATTGTTGTCTTCAGTCACGCCCACCTCCTCGGGGTATTCCTTTCGCATATTCAAGCCGGAGGTAACCCAGAATTCTATATATTATATTATTGCTTGTGTCGCAACAATCGCTGCAGATGTTTCTAGACTCTGATTCAAAAGGACCCCGACTCGTTGGCTGAGAGAAGGCCTTATTTTATAAGTGGTATGAGGGTGAGTCTATAATTCATGGCGCCAACTGTGGAAGGAAAACTGAGCCACAGACACTGTATTAAAAACTCTGTAAACCACTGACGAGACATGTTAGTTGTTATGTCTCAAATTTAGCCTATGTAATTACCGAGCGTATAATCAAACACAAATCCATTATTAATAATACCATGATATCATATTGCATTATATCGGCTGGATTAGTGTCACAGCTGACGCTCTTGCCCACAATACAGAATATTGTCCTTACTTATCTTTCTCATAGTATATTGTGCTAGGATGTCGCCTTTTTGATGGGTCTTTTTATTTTAGCTTTGGCATTGCTTCTGCAATATACAGAATTATATTGCGAACTGCACCTAACGCTCTGCAAGTTTTCTCTTCAATTAAATCAAACAAATGACACATATTATGTGAAGGCGGAGGCTATTAAGAACCTTGATAGGATGCTGTCGGATAGCTCGGCTCAAGAAGAACGGACTCATCCGTGGCATGGATATTGAACCGTCGTGAATTATCACCATTAGCTCTATTGGGTAGGCTCCGCGGAGGGTCTCTCGCAATATGGAGAGGGAGCCCCGCTTGTTCAGCTTGGCGGTGCATCCAGTGCTCACGAATTTGATCGAGAGCTACTTTGAAATCATCTAAGATAACTGTGTCACAAAGGCATTTGAAGACAAAAGAGAGCTTGTGCAACGATTCGGGTTAGACACAATCTTACAATTCCTGAGCACCAGTATACCACTTACCTTCCAAAATGGCTCAATCCCAACTGGAAGGGTAGTGGATATTACGCCAAAAATGGCGCAAACATCTATGATGATAAATCCCACAGAAAGACACATCAAAAATAACATAATACCGAACCGTGGGCTGACTTGTATCAGGGTTCCTAGGCTCAATGCATAGCACTTATTGATCGCATGACATAGTGCATAGCTTGCGTATAGCCACCAAGGATCTCTGGAAGAAGTAGGTTATTACACATCCCCAGGTTATATATGGTAGGAATACATACCGGAAGAACGGCTCCAGAACCCTTGTCTTGAGAAAGAGAAGCTTTCCCTGGTTGAAGAAGGCAAAATTTGCGTAGGTTTCGAGTACCCAATATGGTTGGGCGAGAAGCAAAGTGCCTAGAAAGACTCGCGACCCCCAAGGCGGTAAGAACGGTTTAATCTTGATCCATGCGATGAGGTTATGCAGGGTATAAGATATATTTAGGCCGATGGCAGTGATGGACAAATACCAGCCATAGATTGGTCTATGGAAGAAGATGAAGGTACCATGGCCAGCAGCCAGTAGAAGCTATACAAAAAGTATCAGAGTCAAGAACAAGTGCCTTTAGGTACGGACTTAGATAAATACACTTACCTCAAGTATAATGAGCTTGTGTAACATCTTAGACTTCTTCATATTGGATGCGGTTAATACTACCATCACAACCAGCGCACCTACCAGGAGTCCTTGACCCCAGGCTTCCAGAACTAGGCCATCTAGATCTGTTGGTCTATCAGCTGCGGTATCAAATGATAGTGGGATCATTTTGGAAAGAGAGAGGATATATGATTGGTGATAACGAAAGAGGAGCTCGTCAGATTTAGATGGCTTGTATAATAGTGATATACCCGGCTATATAGGTTCATCTGTTCTATTTATCCTTTAAGGAATATCTTATATAAATACCCCTGTGGGCATTCCCTGTGGACATTCCTCTGGTTGGAAGAAAGAAATTCGTATCTGAAGAATTCGTGTTTGTAGGACTTACTACGGTAGCTTCTTGATGACTAAAGAAGGATTAGAATCTATATTCAGTTTACTGTAGCATGCTTGGTATTATTTCCATACTGGAAGTAGTTTAATTGGATTTTTTTTATGGTTTCCTAAAATGAGATATCAAGCGTATCCCTTCTCTGAGCATAGTAGCAGAATATTTAACACAGTTGGCAAGGAGAATGAAGAAAATGGAGGTATAGGACTTCCACCTTGACCAACCAGTATAGGATACATATAGTGAATATTTATTTCGATTACGAAAGGGGTCACTCGCTGAAGGGTATTATTGGCCGATTTACCTCTGGTCCTAGGCTTGGCAACAAACACTTGGCCTTTTATATCGAATTTTCCCTTTCAATAGAATACCATGATGGCCTATAGTTTACGGGCTCACTTGTTATCTCTTTTACACTGATAGGCAATGTGCACAATTTAAAAAAAAGAGACGGTGCTGAAACCGCCAAAGAAGGAATAATATACAGTATAATCAACAGCGAGGCCTGAAGAGCGTTGATATATGGCGATGTAGCGAAGATGACGTAATATCCACCACTGCGACGCTATCGCGCTATTTCTCCCCCCTCTGTTCTTGGACAATTGGGAATTGTGTCGACCATCGAATTATCACCTTCTTTCCGTGCTGTCTATAGGCTAGTTAGACAGCCTTCATGTCGATCCCAAATATATCAGACGAATCTGCCAAACTCTGAAGGGTACTGACAAATTTAGGCCACGTGTTGGTGAGTACAAGATACTTGATACTATCCTGTACGTCATCGAATATTGTCGTGCTGAATGTCTCCGGGACATCCCCCGTATAGAAAATGTTGGTTACCTGGCTCACCTGTTCGGGGCCTTCTAATGACGCCGGCGATAAACGTGCCTTGGAGGAGTTATCAGGTGCCTCGAACGGTGTGGCAGGATCAACATCACGCATGTCTCCGTACAGAGCACGGGTGGGTCCCTCAAAAACGGCTTCGAGTCTTTTAAGGTCTTTGGAAGAGATATTCACAGGAAACTCAGCATGGTAAACACTGATGAAATCGATGTATATACGTAGGGCTCGGTTAAAATGCTCACGAATCAACCCCGTGAAGCAGTCACCCCCAGGGGTAGTGCTATTCCGAATGGCCTGCTGTAGCGAACTTTTCCAATGAGACACGCTGACCAGGAAGGCAATATTCTCACCAGAGAAGTCATGAAGAGCAGCGAATGTCTGAAGAGGAGCAGGGTTTTGTTCAAGTATATAATCAAGGCTGTTCAGGGTCAAGGTATTGTTTCGAGCGTCGCTGATCATATTGACAGAGTTATTATCTGTCTCCAAATCAAGTGTGACCGTATTGGCTATGGTGGAGGTCGGGCTGAGACTATTAAATCGTGAGATAGCCATTTCGTGCTGCAGTTTCTTTTGTGTGATGAGGCTGCACATCCTTTCGGCGGAAGCCCCACGGCGCCTCACCTCCCAGCAGGGAATAATGATGGTGAAAATCTCTATTACCAGAATAGAAAGACAGATCCTGTACTCAAATCAGTGGGGATGGCCATGGATGATTTTGGTTGGGACAGCCTACCACTGTGGTGGCAACCAGTACTGATTGACCGACTCCATCGCGGGCACATAAAGAGCGACGAGCCACATAGGGGTGGCGTGAAGACTATCTTACATTAGGGACGGTGCTTGATACTCAGCCTAACACTTACTTCGCGATAGCGCAACCAAGTGTCTGGACTCGCCAGCCTTGGGTATCGTAGATCCGGCGAGATTTCCAGAGGACTATTGGGGCAAAAATCCAAGACCAGAAGGTTTGCCAGAATATGCCAGGCCACCTACATATCTGTTAGATAACCACTTCCTTTGGACGAGGGCTGGACATGAAATCCTTTTATTTCTTACCACTCCCACCCTCGACCCATCTCTGACTTCTGTTCCATTTCGGTGCCATAGACCTCGGTACCAGGAATGCCCCAGGAGCTATGCCACTTGCGAGATATCACCCACATTAGGACCGTAAGAGTAAGCTGGCCGGTCAGTTAGCTGAAATGCGTCAGGAAAAGATTTAGGCGAAAAGCTGCTATCGCACCTGGCACAGGAGGGAAATGCATATAATAATAAAGAGCTTAGGAGTATGTCCAAGACGGTGGAACTGACAAAGCACGTTTGCCTTGGGCCTTAAGCTAGTGGCAGGGCGGATACAGCGGCTATCGTAGTTGACATATTTTCTCTGAAGCTTAGCGACATAGAGAAACTGGCTGTTGGATAAATGGAAAAGGGCAATGCCGCATGGTAAATAGGTACCCATGATCCAATACTCGACATCTCCAGGCATCAACGCGCCAATCATAGTTCCAAACTGAACAGATAACCAATAAATATGGAGAACAACGATGGCAGAGAGCGATAGAGCTAGACCTCGAACTCGGAGTGCAGGCGTGTTTCGATGGGCGATTAGATAGGCCATACCTAACGCGATAACAGTGGTCCAGGTACATCCCCAGCAAACCCACCATATACTCACCGGCGTGTATGACACCCGTGGTTTAGAGTCAGGATTGACTCCGAGTTCTGATCCCATGATGTGTGATGTTTCTTGTGCTGCTGTTCTGATCAGACATAAGCAATTGGCCTAATTCAGACGTGGTGGAAGAATAGTGACAAGCTCGCCTAGGGCTTATCAGCACTGCTGCGCAAGGTACAGTATTTATTATAGTACTGCGCAAGATTAGTTTACCTAGTGAACTAGCGTGGCTCTGCTTTTCAGGGGTTTCAGTCTATGAATGTATTTTAATCGACAATATAAATTCATAACTAGTAAGGTACTTTAGTTTGTAAGTGATATTAAGAACATTGGGGCAAATAGTCCCGTTGGGTTTTCTCTCCCTATTCAACCAAGCATGACACCTTTCGATTGGTATGTACGATATCATTGGCTAGCTGCTTAGGACTACTCATAGGTAACTTTTAACAGCTGTACTTCCAGAGTAACAAAATATCTACTTATCTTTGTCAAAGGAGGATCTCAGGACATCAACGCACTCGTGGTTTAGGATGCCTTAGTTTATCACCGGTGATACACTATACTAAAAAGGTTTTAGTGTATTCTTCTATGATTGCCCCAATAAGAAGAGGGGATTACGCCCCACATAAAGTCTTGCCTAGGCTACAGGAAACACCAGACACTTTTCCCATTCTCCTACTGAAACTCCTCCACATAAGCTTTACGCTCTCGGTAGACTCTGTATTAATTGGTAAAGTAATAGTTCCAATATATACCTCCAGTGAGTAGTAAATATAGCAATACTTTGATCTTGGCGTAATATCAAGAATCCAGATCAATAGACTTTGAACTAACCCTTCTTGATTATTACCAGACAATATAGGACGATATAAATTTCAACACGAGATCCATGTTGTACTTGCCATTAACTTCATTTATTTAAACTAAAGAGAGTGGTTTTTCTGGCAAGGCAATTATTTTTACATAGTCATGGAAACTGAATTGGAGCAACCCGCGGCAGCCACTTTAAATAGTACGGAGGAAACATCGCGTCCTATACAGCCATCTACACCAGTGAGAATCACTAAGGTGCCAGACAGCGCGGATTCCGTCTCGTCAATTATTCCAGGAGAATTGTCGCCGACCGAATTCGCACACATCAACGGCAAACGCAAGCGGAGGGGCTCAGTGACCAACGATGAGTACAGAGTGCCTTTGCAAAAGAAAGCAAAGTTGAAAGAGGAAACCACCTCATCATACGTTTGTGGTACTGCCGCGGTACCCTTACAGAGTGTTTTCAGTTTGGATGCACGAGCTCCAGGCCCTCGGTTGCTGCCAAGCCCAATTCCACACTATAGACAGCGACAGCGAGTGGGTTCGATACAACACGGCCCACCACAGCCATATCCCCCCATACGCCTTGCACCATTTCGATTCTCCCACCACTCTGACCAAAGCAACGAAGATGTGTACAACGAGCTTGCTCATTGGTATCAGCAGTAAGTCTATAAGCAACCCTACGTGAGATATTTGCTAGTTATTAATCGGATTGCACAGGTTCCGACTGCAGATGTGGTCACCAGTAGCTTCGGTGATGGGAATACGCTGGGAGCAAGCAGAAGAGATTGGATGGTGCTTGGGCTGGAACGAGATTATGCGGCGCTCTAGCAGATCATCACTAGCCCATTAAAGTATGACTAAAACTCGTGCGTTGTGATTATAATATGTCAGAGTATTGGTTGTCATACTCCGTAGGAAAATCATACATTTTTGCTTTCAGAGATATAAACTCCCTGACCACAGGATAAAGTACAACCCTCCAGACATGCTTCAAACATCGGTCTAGGTGAACTGTACATAGCTTCTAAATATATATCAAATACAAAGCGATATGAGTGCCGATTATACGACTCCTGGATATATAATGGCCCTTGTGTTAATGAACGTGATACAAGGCTATAACTTCCAGCTGTACTATTATAAGCTATATCCCCGTCAAAACAGGTCATCTGCAACATATGTCTATTCAAGCCTCGACAACAAGATTTTACTCATCAATCCTCTTGAGATGCATATTTACTGCATAATATATAAAGGATCAGAGTAAATCGTAAGGTGCCAAACTCGCTTAGCTAACTGACATACTCTGGCGAAGCGTGTACGCGCTGACTTTCTATGTAGTGTGGGAGATATATCTAACGCTGATTGAACTATAACAAGGATTTAGGATATACAGAGCAAGCCCTTGCTACTTCTTTATCTACTTCAGTTCCTCACCTTCCTGCACGACTTGGGTCAAGAGATTTATCTTGCATACTGATGGAGCTTTTGATATGCTACTATTAGTAATATAGTAATAAAGATATGGTTAGAAGACTAATGGATGAAATCAAAAACCAAAAGGGAAGGAACCACAGGAACTAAGGGCTTTTCTATAATGATCGGCTACAGTACTGAGGTAGCTGGTTCGGTCTCTAAATCTATCATATTTTGGCTGCGACTCTGTCTCTATTTATATCCAGATATTGTTCTGGATATCAAGGGTGTCCATATCAGTCCTGTTTGTATAAGATCTTGAAATGGGCACTGATTCCTACCTTAGCTAGGCCAGTATCATACCATTCGCATACTCATTATCGTAAGCTAAAATTAAATCTTTACAATGGCAAAGTTCTCTACTCATCCGACCGGCCCACGTACATTGTTGAACGAGTGGCTACATCGTCTTAGCATTCCCCCACCAGTCACAAACCAGGCAGTTCACAGCCGTTATGTTGAAATGCTGCTGGAGACAGAAAGAATTCCTTTACTTCATAACTTGATTGCTTCGGTGTCTACTTGGCTCTTGCTGGCAGGTTATTTAGTCTTGCCAGGGACATTTGTGACCTTGCGTGAATCCCATTTGGTGGCACAGATGGCTAGTAAAAGCCAAGCTGCGACCTTGATGACCCATGCGATTAATAATCCTCCTCTGCTTGCATTAGCCACCATCTCCTGTACATTGGGCACAGTGGGCTGCGGATGGCTATGGTGGAGGTGGCGCACCAACTATATTTGGCCGCCGCAGAGAATATTTCTGTATGCAAACCCCACCACAAATTGACATATGTTCTTCGAGCTTACATATTGCCACGGAAGACCAGCGCTCCTGCATTCTACTATGGGTTTTGTCAATACGATTCTCAATGTCTATACGGCTCGGCATGGAACATGGTCCATAATGGCAATTGTGTCAACAGCAGTGTCGGGTTCTTTTACAGTCACCACAGCGGTTATATATACAATTTTACAGTGTTATATTCTTCGCAGAATCAAGCGCGAGCATCAATCTGTTGTTGAAGGAATTTCTCCGGTACCGCCACGACCCGAAAGTTCTAGTGGAACAAATATTTGTGAACCCCCCCGAAGTGGAGTCATTGCAGAACACGAAGAACGGTAATTGGAGTCTCTATGGGGTATTCTTAACCCACCAGGCAGGATATATAGACTTGTTTGTATAATATTAGGACAATCAGATTTGGATAATGTTAAGTGTTGATCTCCTTAATTTCAAGAGAGAGGCAGAATATATTCTGCGGCGGGCCAAGCTTTGCCGTGCTATGAACTCTTATTATAACAAGATATTAGATATTATATAGTGTCTATGTGTACTATTTCTCGGTGCTGCAAATATAACCTATTTATCACACTCCGTATATACTTCCATTTCTTACTATCCTATCTAAGGCTAGCTTTCTAACTAGTAGCTGTTGTGGGCGGGACCCGCTTAGCGGCCGGAAGAACCCTCCTTCCGGGCCGCTTAAGGCCGCCAGACGGAATCCCCGACCAACATTATTTACTATAATTTTATTTTTTCTTTCGCTGGAGAACGCTTATCTAATATATATCACTCAGTTAATTGAGCGTTAATATCTCTGGCGAGTTTATTTAGCGCCTTAGTATTTACATAGCTTTTCCTCATGGTGGAAGGCATCGCGGAGAGTTGAATTTATTGGTACCCTAACCAGGCGGCTACGGATAAGATAGTAAAGGATACTGATCTCATCTCAGGTAGCATAAAAGTAAACAAGGGTAGCGACGCAGTATCTTTCACCTGCCCCTCTATCTATCTACAGATAGCCGTTCGTCCTTACTAGGGACTTTCGCTTCACTGCCGACACTTCCCACGCCGATGGCGGATAAATGAATTGCGGCTATGAATTCGATAGTTATGACGAAGACCTCCATGCCGTAGATGGCTGGTCTCGGTATCTGCGAGGTCACTAGGATTGGTACTCATGGAATAGCGATAATCAAATAGTGCAAGTGGATGTTGGGGTCCCTACCTGCCATTAATGGTAACCACTGATAACACACTTCCGGTCTTTGATCTATCGAAGAAAGCCGAATCATAGCCTCTTGTACCACAGGTAAGCATTGCCTGGTGATGCCTGCTTCACTCGCTGTGCCGTGTGATGATAAGAAGAAGGCTAGCAGTACGTTTATACAATTGGCCCGCTGTTCTTGAGTGTTGATAGCCATATCAACCCCGATTGCGTCTCTCACCGGGCTCTCGTTCTCGGGAGCGCGTATCACGGATAATTCTCCGGTGGAAGGGGTACCTGCGTACGACCAATTCGGCGGTAGAGCGAAGCTATCATCAGTCACTGTCAGCAAAATATTGGAATACATGCACTGTATCAGGCTTCTTACCTTGCTGCAAGGCTTGATAGCCAGAAAGGGAGAAAGGCGATTAAAATCATAATTATCAATTATATGATGTATATATACCTGATGGGTTGGATAACAAGATTAAGAAGATATAGCGGGGGTATTGTTCTTATAATATCGCTCTCTCCTTTTAGATAATTTAAATTACCCAGGGCCTTACGAAGTATTGGTTCGTGCTGTAATCTACCTAGCACCAGCACCAGTAACTGCGTGTATTAACTAGGGACCGATGTAGTCAAGGTAACCATAAATTATGCGATACACATACGGAACATAGTATGATATAGAGTTAGACTTACGCGACATCCCCTTCTACATTGCAGATACTAAATTTCATTATCATACCTCCTCTCAAATCTACCTTTGTATCACTAGCATCGCAATATAATCATAGCACAAGAGGAAATTAGTTGATAAGGCGCTGGGCTTATTTAGACAGTATCAACATCAAGCTAGAAGTTTCATTATTCCTCGAGTAAAACGATAGTGAATCGTTACTTATTATTGCTTGGGACTGGAACAACCACCCGGCGGTCGATAAAAGCTTCCACTATAGCAAACATCCAATCACAATTAGATATTAAGCATAGCCTTACTATACAGTCTGCACCATATATTCTTTTGGGTAGCTCGATGAGTCGTTCAAGGTTGTATATTCTGTGAAGCTGTTTAGAGATAGCGCTTCCAAGGTACGCTAACTAACAAGTAAAGGACCACAACCTGGTTGTCCCTTGTTGGCCAGGTTGTTCAGTTCAATGCACACCTGATGCCAATTGTACTTTGGTCGAGCGGTAATATGCTTCAACATCTTAGACTCAATATATATAGCCGCTATATAACGTTTTTCTGGAGGTCTGTTCCAAATCTAGTGCCACGTTCTTCTTTTAGTTATCATCCGTTAACGGATACTTCGATAGACGATAACTGCATCAGCAAGACGTGTTGATGACAATGGGATCATTCTGGTCAGATGCAGAGCTTGTCACCACGGTATACTTTTGCTCGCGTGGGTTCACCGACGGTGCTGTGTCCCGGATACTCAGTATTCGAGGATATTACCGTACACCCCATGCGATTCGCCGCAAGATAGCCGATACGTTAAAACACTTCTCCAGTCTACAGCTAGCAAGTGGTAGTTGGGATATAGACGAAGTGGATATGTGGCTGGACAGCCTCAGCCTGGATCACGAAACTGTAAATCACCTTATTGCTTGCAATCGCATTGATGCGTATATTGCCGACGAGGTTCGTGATACTTCAATGGCAGAAATTATGACATACTAATAGCCCTATAGCATGGGATTCTGGCTTTTGTCTTGCAGAATTTAACATCTCAGAGCCAGCGCTGGGGCTGGGTTGTTTCTCCATGAGCTATTGAGGGATACATACTGAAACAAATGATGTACTATACAGCGTAGATAGCCTGTCAACTAGGTAAGGATGCATCAGGTGGAAGAGAGGAAAACGTCTATCATTGACTCAATAGTGGAACTAAATACTGCTGAACTGATTCTCCTCTCTTTTCTGGCTGCCTAAAGATAACTTATAGCTCCCCATGGTCCTGGTAGGATACCAGGAGTGCGATACAGCGGATCGGTCAGGCAAAATACCTCGTCAGGCCGGCTTGAGACTGGCGGATGCGCATCCATAGAGATATGGACATAATATCGGACTATATAGGTGCGTTAACAAGGAATGCACATACCAAGATAGTACATAATCAAGCTACCCAGTGGCAAGTTGACATAAACGGACCATTGCCATATGGATCTGTCTGTGAATGCACTGCCAATAAAGATACCCACCGCAGGAGCGAACGAAAGGATAGCCAACATGATTCCGATACACGAAAGAAAGTAATCAAGCGGAATAATCTTTCCAATTAATTCAAATCCGCCAGTACAAATGCCTGCCGCCCCAGCACCGGCAATTGCCCGACCAAACATCATTGTGATAGAGTTCGGCGCGGTCGTATAAATGACCGATCCCAGTTCAAAGAGGTGAATAGCCAAAAGATAGACAATCTTGATTGAAAAAATACTGTGAAGGTGGCTGTATAGAATCTGGAAGACACCGATCATAGGTACGAAAGTGATTGTCCACAAGTCGATATAACGGGTGTCAGTTGCCAGTGTTGGGGCCACTGTCCCAACAATTGTTTGGTCCTTTAGAGAAATAATATTAATATCGGGAATCTCCGCTTGCCAGGAAAGGCACTCTTACTATGGTGGCTAGGAATAGGGTAAGGAATAACGCCGCCACGACCACCTGGAGGCGATGATTGTCTTGGAGTGAGGGAAGTTGCGCGCTCATGGTTCAAAGGGTGTCGTACAGAAATTGACTAAGGCTGAAAGGTAAAGAAACAGGCAAATATGAAAGTAAACACTCTATTTATTAGAGACCAATTGGGCTTACTTCCTGTTTTAACATCTGCTTTTACTACCAATGGTGGAACTCATCTTTATAGTAATTTCTATTGCGTCTTCAGGAGCGTTACGTAGCTTCTTTCATTGTCCGGTACTAGATAGTCTTGGAATTCAGAATGGTTTAGCGTACAACGCGTAGTACACTAGTTACAAATAGAGCTTAGCGTATTTCTATTTAAGAAAAGATATTCTGCGTCGAAAATGACGCTATAACGACCCGTTTCTGGAATGCGGCATGCCAACCTGGCAGCAGAATATCTGGCAGAAAATAAAAAAAAAATAGGAAAATTAAGAAAGTAAAATAGAAGAGAGAACAGTAGATTTAGTGGCTTTGCAGTTAGTTTATCCTAATAATCATATAGCAGCAAATCCCAACCGTAGCCTCCAGTTGTGGATCACGGGTAGGTAAACTTTCGTATTGAGCTGGTTCTGGTCTGATTTGCCTTGGAAGATAGTCATGAATTAGTTAACCGCGGTACACATCCTACAATAGAGATTCACTCGCAAAATTGGTATACAACAGAGCGCTAATAGTGCAATATAACTATCTTGCTGCCTCTTATCGCTTACTGTTGCATCATTGCATGGTTGTTTGGCTTGGCGGGTATCATTATTATATCAAGTACTTTGTGGATACCACTGTAATAGATTTATTGTTTTACTATCTGCCTTACAGTTCTCTGTGCTTAGATGGTTATATGACAGGACTATTATAATCTATATATAGTTGTTCACCAAGTATTGCGGATATTGTGTGGACTTATAAAAGGGTCACTTGTTCAGGTTTTGCAGAATCACACCTCATCTTGCGATGGCTTACTTGCCCAATGCTGATCGGGTCTATCTATCTTATGTGCTGCGGCTCGACCTTTTGTACCATTAGCTGCGCTATGTATTCCGTATCTTCAACGCTAATATTGGTGGTACACAGTAATAAAAAATGAACTTGCTCATACATAGGCTGTCATAAAGAACCCATGAGAATAATATAAAAGAGCAACACCTCCTCTAGATCCTCCCCTGTCGTAGGATCGTCTTTGGGAAGCCTGGCAGATATTCTAGTTTATATCTACCGCATCATGTTGCCTTTCCTTGTGCCACTAGTAACTCTTCTTATCTGGAGGGTATCTCCGGTGCTGAGGCAAGTTACATCAACAGTGCAATCCCTCTTAGGATACTAACTAAAATAGCTGTGCTTTGCCAACATCTGATGTTAGACCACAAGATAGCGCAGCCTCCGCCGAGCATAATCCCACATCTACGCTTGATGCTGGAAATAATATACTGGAACCAACTGATAAGGTGTCGGTTACGAAGACTGATGATCAACATGTGCCCCCCCCGGGGCAGACATACTCTCTGTCTGAACGACCTTCCACCTTGGATGTCCCCGCTTTGCCTTTGTCTTCTACGCTAACCTTACTCCCCTCTCCATCCATGCCGCCACCTTCGCAGACATATAATAATTTCGTCACCAATGCGACGGCCGACGCTATTTTTACTGATTCCACAGCCACTATACGCTTATTCATTGTCGACGTTGGGGCTGAAAAGGGCGGGATTGATACGGAACAATCGCTCTTTCGCCCACAGTTCATCAATGCAGCACCCGGTGACATGGTCCTGTTTCGGTTTTATGGGGCGTACGCACTTTACAGCTCAGACTTCCAAGACCCCTGCCATGCACCACGCCTAAGCCAAAATGCCGTTCCAACAAGAGATAAGATTCCATCCCACCAGGTTTCGGTCCAGTCTACAAAGCCACTTTGGTTCTCGGCCAGCTTAATCGACAAGCCACATTTGTGTAATAATGAGACTGTTTTTGCGGTTAATCCGGGCAATCAGAGGGAAGACTTCTTGGCCAATGCGTCCATGATCTGATAAACTAGTCTACACATTTGTTAAAATTCATGGGGCCAAAGAATAACAATCATGTTATCCTGCGAGGGTATAGAGTATTCTTCTGTGTTTGGAAGGTTTATTATTATTAACAGGACTCTGCTACAAAATAAGCCTTGAGATACATAGATGTACTTCCTATCAATAATATATTCGCCCTGTTTAGTGCTGGTAGTAGATAGGGACAGTGGAAATCTCATTAATCCATTCATTTACTATTTAGATGACGAGGCATTTGACTACCTTAAGAGTTACACTTACCCGCGACGTTTACCCGCGCTTTGTTGACCTTACTCACCTTAACATCCAGAGCACTTCGCTATTAAGATATTACTAAACTATATACTTCTATAAGTATATTATTACATCGTGCAGCCTAGTATACTGACAGCTGATAATATAAAAGCGGGAGAAGAGCTTGATAAGATTGCCTATCTAATAAGTAATTATTAAAGTGCTATTTAATTGGAATTCTAAGTATAAGTTGAAAAATACAAGAATACTAGCGCGGTGCGTATACAGAAAGAAGAGAAACAACAACTAGATACTCTAAATATAGATGGAGCTCTACTAATCATGAAATAAATATAACCAGATTCTAGTTGCACTATATTGATGCTCGGTAAAGATAAAAGGGATGAAAATGTTGAATGTCCATCACTCACCGAGGCAGAAGCTCTTGACATACAAAAGACAAAGAGGTGCAATGACGATGGTCAACTAAGGTACATGTAATGCGCAGTCCATCAAAACACACGTTTAACAAACTTCCACCACAGGCCCGGTGAAAGTGCCCTTTGCATGGGTAATGTAGTACAGGATGCCGAAGAGAATCGTCCCTCCAGTAGGTGCGATAGCCCAATTCATTGACGACGCGTTGACATGTACATCTGAAGGCCAAAAGCTGAATATAACAGCAATGGTCAGGTAACAAACCGTGAAAGCGTTTGTTGCGATACCCCATTTCCGTGGAATGTGAAAGGGCCCCCAAGAAAGGGGAGCGCCGGTTGTGTTAACTACTAGCACTGTGTCGCCACAATGTCGAATTCTGCCTGTAAGGCGGTGGTAAAGCAGCAGCCCAGCAGCTATGAGATAGGAAGAGAACAGAGAGCTAACGGTCAATGACACCACAGCATTAAGAACAGCTTCAGACCACAGGATTATTAAAGATAATAAGAGCGCAGCGACGACAATAGCTGTGATGGAATAAAAAGGAATTCTCCTAGAGTTCACCTGAACCTTTATTATAAGTACTGAATACTCATACGTCACATTTGAGACTGCAGATACTAACCTTGCTGAGTAGTATCCACCAAGGAGTACCACGGTCTCGAGAGAAGGACCATACCATCCGTGAGGCTGCGGCCAGATTCCCTGATGCAGTAGCAACCCCTGAGATAGGCACAATAGAAGCCATGGCGATGCTGCCCGGGATTGACCCTGTCGCATTTAGAAATATCTGGATATATGGATATCCTGTAGGGGAGTTGAGGACATGATCGACATTCTGCAGATTGAACAGGGTAACCAAGAGTATGCCAAAGCCCAGTGATCCATTCAAGATAATACTCATCATGATGGACCGCGGTATAATCACCGTGGCATTTCTAGTCTCCTCGGTCATCTGCAGGAAGTGCCATCCAGCATCAGCTCCAAAGTCTGCATGGAGAGGATAAAAGCATTAGCTACTCACATGAATAGCAGCGTCACACCCTGTGAAAGCAAAATTACTGCCCAGCATCCCAACAAAGAGAGATAATCCAAGACTCGGCCAACCGCCCTCGTTATTGAAGCTCCCAAATACTTCATTGGCGGATACATGGTCGCCTAGATATGAGAGCGGTATTAGGATGACGAAAAACCCAGCAATATGCAAGATGAGGACAAATCCCTCAAATTTAGGCAGAAGACTCCCTGTGCCAACATTGATAAACATCGCAAAAGCAACGTAAGCCCAGTAAAGAAGCATTACCTGGTAGGGTTGAGGCTGGAAAGCCGTATGTGTTATAGTAACAAACCCCATGATCTGAGAGCTTGCCATATACACACCTGAAGCAAACGCTCCTAGCCAACCCAAGATTACCAGCCATGCTACCGACTAAATGAGTGTCTTTGCAAAGCAGTCGTAAAGATATACAACCAACCGGCATTGTGTTGATTTGCTCACCTGTAATAAAGCTAAGGAACTTATGACACCATCGTGGCGCTAAAATTGCGACCCAATGATACTGACCGCCAGAGGTCGGTGCCCTGTACATCCATTAGGCCTCAGATAGCTGGCAAAAAAAGAAGGGTAGCCTACATAGACACAAGCTCGGATAGTGTAGCAAGGGTGCACAGCGTGCTGAACCACACAAAGAGGTAGGTATAAACCGCACCTGCGGATCCCCCACTAAACAATATATTAGAATGACTACCACAAAATTCTTGCTCAACGGAGAGTAGCACTTCTTCAATGGAAGGACAAATGTCCTTAAAGGGTCAGTAGACTTTTATGCATGAATGTGGGAGAATATATTTACGAGAGAACACCTTCCCAAGTTGCCAGGACAGTACAACTGAATCCCAAGATTGACAGGAATCCAAATCTCCGCTAACTCCATCATCAGTGACTCCTATATCTCTAGTAAATCAATCTCACATGTTCTGAGCCTCGTACCTGTAAACTAGGCAACTTGCCAACACGTGCTAAGTCTCGATTGTCATTCACGTGATGCGAATGTGCATGTTGTCCCAATTCTGGAAGCGGTATCCGATCTTCACATTCATATTGCTGTTTATCCATTGTAGCCGTATGTGTCTATCGGTAACACAAGTTCTATGATCGTATATACCAGGGGGATTGACGAAAGCGAGTTTGTTTCGAAGAGGAGGAAGATACCAGGAGCGGTCCGACTATAAGCTATTTCTTAACAAGAAACACAGGATGTAAAGTGATAAAGGTTACTTGTCTCGTCCTTGCCTCTAGTAATGACGCAGGATAGAAGCGATCTACCCAGTTAAAGTTTTTGGAATAGTATGTGTATGAAGATCTTTTTGAACGGAATATTTTCGATACAAATATTACAGGTAAGGAGTAGTATTACCATCATCATTCTTGACCCAGTGAGATATTTAGAAAATGGTTTACTCTGGAGACAGTGCCTTTGTGCACTCCAGGCCCACCAGCTCTGGTTAATCGCAAGAACCACGAGGTAGGGAGCGACAATATTGTGCCGATCCCTGTGGATCTATTTGGTGTGTAATACAAGTTTTGCCAGCCGCCTAGAAAATATGTTCGGTGGTGATACTTTTGCCACAGCGGGTAATAGTTCCACCTATCTACCTCGGCCGAGTCGGCTCTCAGTAATTCTCAAACTTGAGATCTACGTCCCTGGTGGCGCTCTCTCATGAGCCTCCTACTTAGACTAACTAATGGCTAGGTTAGGTTAATTGTAATGGTTAAAAAATACACAACTAGGTTAAAGTATTATAGGCCAATGGTAATATATATATATATATTATATTAATATATATTGTAATTAGGGCTAAGGGCAAAGAAACCAAAGCCCTATATTTCCTAATACGGTTAGCTTACTTTATAATACCTAATGGTTAAAAAATACATGAAAAAAAGCTCAGGATTCAGTAACTTTGTAACTACCTTGTATAGTTAGGGTATTTTAGGCATAGCCCTAAGCTATATATTGGAGCTTTATATAATTGATTAAGTTTCAATTTAAAAACAATGTATTCTATAATTCTAGGGCCCTAAATACCATTATTTTAAGGTCAGTAATTAGCCGTAATCTTAACCGTTAGCCACTCTACTCCTACTATTTCCGGCGATCATTGAGTCACTGACTCATGTCCTGTGTCGGAAGTCTAAGTAAGGAATTCTCCACACTGTCGATCAATTCTTGACCTGAATGGGCAGAAAAAAAAATAGTCATCGAAAAACACAACGGTTTCACGCAAAGGCTATCTTAACTAATTTCCTATTGAATGTGGTTAGCTTTCACAACGCCACAGTACTCTCTTACACAGCACAAGAGTTCCAGATTCGATGCCAAGCAATTATCTAACTCCACTAACTTCGCGTAAGATAAGATAGTATAGTGTGGGGTTTGAGCAAGTAGCTTTTTAAATCATAGTACCCTAGTTTGCTTCTTGAACTTAAACTACGGAAATAGATCGCGATCAAATAAGATCCTAGCAATGGCATGAAACATTGCATAGGTTGCGCCATACTTATGTTTAAATATCCTGGTGAATAGTATCTAAATAATGCTGGCTTCCTTAGAATAAATTTCACACACCTTGATAACTCATGGTAGTACTATATGCTACCTTTATAGAGTGTTGAGACTGTGTGTAAGATATTAAATTATCAATTCTGTTTACCAGCTCTCATATTCTATTATATTATATTTTCCTCCATCGCCACTCGTATCACAATGATACTTCTCACAAGTGACAACCAAGGGCCGATCCTTACAATTATAGCATCTATTTTGTTAATATTTGAGACCATAGCAGTCTTGTCACGTGTAGGGGTGAAGTACTGGGTAATACGCCGCGTGGCTATGGATGATTGGATGATTATTGCTGCCCTGGTAAGTGTACACTTATGGAAGCTTTCCCAGTGGACCTAATAGATATATTTGGATTTTTTCAGGTATTGAGTATTGCACACACAACGAGTATAGCAATTGCAGCAGACAATGGCTATGGAAATCAAAGCTTGCTTGCGTCTCGACTCCCGTTGATTAAAAAGGTATGGGGCCCACCACCCCTTGCTGAAACTATGATACTGGTTGGGCATCGGAACAGATTTATTGACTGGCAGTCAAACAGGCTATCTATATTGCGAATCTAACCATGATTGGTACATTATACTTTTCAAAAATGAGCACAGCTATCTTTATACTACTTCTACGCGGTTTCAACTTCAGAAGTGGATTTCCTTTCCTCGCAGTTATTACAATCTGGGCTTTCTCATCCCTTCTTGTTTCAGCATTCCAATGTGGCATTCCGCATCCCTGGGACCTTGCTTCTAACAAGTGTATTAATATGGTATGTACCCAGGCGATCGAAAAATTGGAGCTGGGCTGACTCTTCTATTCAGCGGGTATGGCAAAACTATTTTACCTCGATGAACATAGTTACAGAAGTGGCTCTTATCCTTTGGCCTACGTACATGGTGTGTCGAATTCAAATGCGACTACAAAAAAAAGCTATTGTGATTGGGTGCTTTACACTAAGGGCTACGTATGTCTACTCTAGGCTCTCTATACCCTTATTGGTACAAAGCTGCCATGCTCACTGATTATTTAGGATAATACTCTCAGCGATCTTGGAGGCAATCTTTCGTAATAAGATAGTTAAGGGCGTCCAAAGCATTATTCTTGATCCCTTTCCGGTCAGTGTCTGCACTGAGGTGCTACTATTTACTACAATTATTGCGCCCTGTGTACCACATCTTAAGTCGGTGATGGAGAGCCTACAATCTGGAGGGTTCAGGCTGTATCAATGTCCCCGGAAACAAAGTGGGCAATCCGATGAAATTGGACTTATTAATGCGTGACTAACATAACTATGTTTCACTACCTCTGTTGCTTTGTGTTCTATGGGCCATGTGTTCTAAGTATTCACAATTTCATGACTCAATCAAATAAAATCTGTAGTAGGGCCAAGAAGGAGTAAAATATCGCCTTTCATTCCAGTAGTTCTTGACTAATATGAACTTGTATTAGACGGTTTTCTCGAAATGTACTAGCCAGCCAGGTTCCCGAAGCCATTCTTTTGCACCAGAGTGGAGAGGAATATGAAGGAATTTAGGTAAAATATCCAGAAATATAATATGAAGGGAAAGAAGCATAGCTACTTCGTCGAATTTTTAAAATGACCTAAACTATGGTTCTAGTTGCCTTATTATATAACAATATATTGTAGCTTTAAAGATCAACAATCAGTTTGCCTATCTTAATAGCATCTACTCCCTTCAATATCCTATCTCTACATATAACTACTTAGTCGATGGGTTTTCTACGCTGAACAGTAGATATCTGTGTCATCATCTCCTTCCATGAATTTCGCCATCTGGATACAAAATAGCAGGACCTAAGACGAGCGGTGATACTCTTGCCACAGTGGTTCTAACAGTTCCACATGCACCCTAACAAAGTAAATACATTTTGCTGAGCTACGATTCATAAAGAAATGATTAGACTTTTTGTTATGGAGTAAGTCTAAAGAGCAATCCTGCGACGGGACCGCTTAGTGGCTGGAAGGTGCTGCGTGCGGGGTTAATTAGAGTTGCGTTTATCTGAGGCAAAGTGGGGTATTATCCCTTTCTAGAATAGCGCCTAAACCAAGTCACTTTCTGTTTATTAAGAACCAAGGGTCGATAGTAGATCTATCGATGGATTATGGAGAGATTAGTAGCAGTATAATATTCTATAATAGGAATAGCGTATCACCAGTACTATGTACATAGTAGTGTCACATTAGGCCTTCAACTGCTTCGAATAACTGGGGTCATAGGCAATATATATCATCAACAGCGCTGCATCTGCACCCCACCTGGCTATATAGATCGACATCTGATTCTGAGAAACATTAGTTCCACTTTCTTCAAACTATATGTTATTGGCTATTTGAGCAGGAATCAACTTACTTTATAACTAAGTTGGTAGGTTTGGTCGAGTTATACATGTCACTGACCATGCAGTAGGTATTATACTTGTATATCTTATCAAATATCATTCTGACTAGGGATATAGTAATCTTTCTACGAGAAAAGGTTTAGCGCTAGCCATTCATACAACCAAAGCTTTGAAAATTATTTTAATAAACATCCAACTACTAAGACCGTAGCATTGAGGCAGCGGAAAACCGTGAGAACATATTTTGACGAGTCCAGTTATGGATCAGAGACTCTTGCCACGGAAAGCTGGGCGGAATGCCATCAACCTGTTGGAGCGTTGGATGATCTCCTCTCTTCCCATCTGCCAACCAAGCTCTTCCGCTTTTTCCCAGTGTATACCTACCATCGATGCTACCGGGGACCATATCTGAAGTCGGAAACTGTCAATATGTATCAATAATCTATCACTGTCTGCCAGACCTTGATCCTTAGACCTACTTCTGATACCAATAAGCCACTCCATTATAGATTTCTTCGTGCTCGTTTTGGGGAGATTGAAAGAGGGGTAACGGTGTCAGTCGTACTATAGCATTTCGCCGTGATGGAGTGGCCTGTGCAGCCGAGTCCTCTCGTGGTCGGGGCGTATAAGAAGCAACTTGGCCATGCAAAACCTGAGCGCCTTCAATCATATTGGTGTCACATGGGGTTTCAGTGAATGTCAGCTTTTGTAGAGGTAACTCGTAACTGTTGCCTGTAGTTGTGCTTCTTTGCTTAGGGCCGTTACCCTCTTGTGTTATTCGAGGTGATGATGGCTCACTCAAGGTCATCGAAGAGATGGATCCAATGTCTTCTGTCTCCACTGGGACTGTCTTAGGTGTCGACGGTTGTGGAGGAAGCGACGTTCCCTCCATGACACCCGATACGGCTTGTGCCGTTGAATCGATAAGTGAGAATTAAAATATTATATATTGGCGCTGGCAAAGATAATAATAATTAACAGAGACTATTATTGGAGAGATATTGGATAGGACTTTATAGATCTCTCCAGAAATCAAGACCTAAGTTAATCAGACAAAAACTGTACCAGATTATTTAAGTTGTGTTAAACTTAAATCTGCTTAGTGTATCACCGGTGATATTTTTTGATTGTCAATTTTGTCATAACATATGAGGTAAGGTTTAAGGTTAACTAAACATAACCTGGACAGACTTATAATTAAAGGTAATATAGAGATATGCTTCTACAATAGCACCAATACTGGATTCTGTGTAGCATCACTGTACTAATGTAAAGTGGGATTAGAGAACCAGTAAAGAACACTCTATCAAAAAGTCTTAGCCACTTCTAGAATCTCCATCTTTTGAGAGTTTGCTATAATACCAACTGTTTTATAACCATAGGTCTTTAGGCTATAGCCCCCAGCGATAATTTATCTTAAGAACTTTCGGCTGTGTAATAGCAATACAGAATTCGTCGAATAGAACGACTAGTCAGTGTCTATTGATGGGTGTGTATTATTATCCAGAGATATACTAAACTATAATAGTAACCAGCATCAACAGTACAGTATAGTCTGACAAGGATTCTTCTAGTATAGATAATATGTACAGTAGTAACTGGTAAATTTTATGATTAATAATATAGATTTAGAGAATGATGGATCTGATAGTGGATCACGGATTCACAGTGGATCCAAACCATATACAAGGAAAAGCTTAATTCAGTGGGTCGACGAACTTTACCGATATATGACAAATAGGGAGTATAACTTAAAAGTTACAAGATTACCGAAGACTAATACTGTATTACTTTTGAAAGACTGAATATCCCTGCGGTAAAAAGTTCTGCCGCTGGTCAACAGTTGGAGTGACATATCCACAAATAGCGATAGTCTTGTTCTAGAAGATTCTTTAACAGTTATTGTAAAGTTTAATAGCCAAAGTTATCCAAAACAGTTAGAAATTCAACTCTAGTCTCCACTACACATACAATGTGCCGTTTATTGCGCTATCCCAAAAGAAAAGGAAAAAAAAAGAAAATAGCAAGAGCAATTATTTATCAGAAATCTAGCCTATACTATTATCATAGGAGATAGCTAGAGATAGTAATATACTATTATCAATTTATCAATCATTCTTCACGAGAAGCTAATACTCCGGGCAACTTCTTATGCTAAAGGCCTAATAAAGGTTTTCCACAACATAAGGCCCTGAAGCAATCAAGAGAGACATTAGAGGGAAGGTGCACTTGATCTACACGTCTTAACCCTTCGCCTTTCTGGCTCCCCAGGCTTACAACGTACATTGCGTTTCCCGACCCATAGTTTTCACACAATGGGCCATGGAGCCATCACTTCGGTACCTATATGTGCTTTTTGGTACAACAGCCTGTTGGTCAAATAAGTATTCCAAATCATGCTTCCCCGGTCGATCCACGCCTGTAAAACTAGTGTCTGGGCACTCCACACACTGCTTCTTTCTTGATCGTCACACAGTCCTTACATCGTATCAATAAATCCTACTGCTTGATGTATAAAAGCAAGTCTCGTTCTAAAAAGGGACTAGCTCACTAATGGGGAAAGGACCAGGGGCCGACTTTGTAACTAAGTATATCCACTACCGTCTGATAGGAGAACAACTAAGGCGTGTGCAGACCCGTGAGTGTCTGACCATGTCTGATCGTCAGTAAACCCCTGAGAGGCACACCAAATTGAACCATGGAACCTCTACCACTCAACATTGGAGGCAAGTGAGGCCCTAGGCACCAAACACAGGCGTATAGATTATAGTGAATGAGGCTGGATATATATCCAACTCCGCGCGCCTCCCTTATCACATCGCTGGCGCATCTTTAGCAGTCTGCGACATATGATATTCAGAAATCCACTGGATATAAATGGATAAAGATGGCAGTCTATAATATCCAAACTACTAATGTGAGAGGGAGTTTCTCACAGGACCCTCCATCTCTCGGGAAACTGCGCTTCCAATGCCGTCTTTGGACTGCGGAACATATCAACTGCATCTCGGAGATGGAGTCGATATTCGAACAGAACAGGTATTGGCAAATTGCGGTACGTTGGTTGGCACTTGAATAACCTGCCCAGTTGCTGATTGATCTTGCAGAAACCATTGGTAGCCGAATTGTGCTCCCAGTGGACCAGAGACTGTGAGAATACTAGCTGCACTATAGAGGTATTGGTATGCCTATCCCATCATTCCTACATTATTTAGGTCCAAGCCATCGAAGACAAAGTCTGCAGACAGGAAGATTGACGCCTAGATTATTAGATGCTTACCAAAATTGTAGGTAAACTATCTCCGCGATATGTATAGGGCATTCCAGCCTGACTTTGCTCTTTTCCCCGAGCCTATCAACCCCCTTGAATGGGTTCACGTCATCGACAACCATATCAGGGAATCTTTCCCCGGGGAAGTGCTGTTTCGTGGAGTCAAGCGACTGAGGGATCAGTTCGGCGATGGAGCTGAACTGAGATCCACGCGACAAAAGTGTCTTCAAGAAAGCAGTCAAAGGCAATTTAGGTCGCTACTGGATATGCGAAACGAAGCCTGTCCGAACACCGTGGATAACCACTCTGGCGGAGTAGAGCAATCACGCCAGATAAGCGCCACTGAGGCCGGCGAGAACGGAGCCGCCCAAGAAGGCAATATGTATACATCCACAGGCAATACTACACAAAGCGAGCCGCTCCAACAGAGTGGAGTAGCAGAAGAAGACAATATACATACATCCACAGGCAATACTATACAAAGCGAGCCGCCCCAACAGAGTGGAGCAGCAGAAGAAGACAATATACATACATCCACAGACAACACTGCACCAGGCGAGCCATCCCCAGGAAACGGTCAGACTGAGGAGGATACAGAAACTGAAGATGACAGTGTGTGTTCATCCACAGGCAACACTGCACCAGGCGAGCCATCCCCAGGAAACGGTCAGACTGAGGAGGATACAGCAACTGAAGATGACAGCGTGTATTCATCCACAGGCAACAATACACCACGCGAGTTGTCCCCAGAAATCCATCCAGTAGACGGGCTTACTACTGCTGCTGGAGCAGACTTTGACCGCCTCTTTCAAGAGTTGGGCGCCGGCACCGGTGATCAGGGGCCAGACTTCAGGCCACAGCCAAATCTGGGCGGCATGATGTCAACTATGACTGATGGCGAATCCTCGACCAGGTCAAGTGTATCTAACACTGGTAACGCGGCCAGCTTTAGGGACCTCCTGGATATGCTGCAGGATCAATATAACCCTGGATTTCCCCAATGGCCAGCCGCCCCAGTGAGGTCGGACCTTGGGCTGAATAGAAACCAGACACTCTCAACTCAGTCTTCCTTGCACATAGAAGATTCTGATATGATAGCAATCAGTCGGCCCTTAGAGAATCTTGATCAGGTCATTGCTGACTTTCTGGTGACTGAGTCTATCGCGAGACCGGAAGACCCGACCAGCAATATAAATATGACTGAGGAAGAAACCAACAATATGAACAACTGTATAAGCTTACAAGACACCCTTGTACAGCAATGGCCAGATAAAAACTATATTCTGTTCTACGGCACCTTATTAACACGTACCAACGTGGAGCAGGTCCTTTATGAGTTACAGAACTCTCCATCACTTTCAGTCTTTACAGTGGATGTACTTGGTGACCGTCTTTCCTACCATCATCGCCCACCGGAGCTACATATTGCCGATGCTACTTGGTTTGACTGTCTGCATCGTGGTATACTTCGGCTAACACCAATACCGCAGACTCTACTGCTGCCTACCCGTATATATAATTACTGGTCATTGATTGAAATCCATGTCTACTCGGGGGCAGTGATTCACTATTTCTTCCTTGAGAACAGGTCAGAAGCACAAGACAGTAGTTACTTTCCTCATCACCCTGCCTGTCATTCCTGCCAAGCGGCAATCAAAGCATTGTCCCATTACCTTCAAGATATTGGCCAGCCATGCCCGGAATGGCAGGTGGAAAGCACGCTACTCAGCTCTACACCGGGCGACGACGGCATAGGTCTTATCTGGACAATGACGCAGCGTGCCAATGGCCAAGATGTCCAAAACGGACCACCTGAGACTTTTCGGGCACATCTCGCCCATGATATTGTGATGGAGGCGCTCCAGATAGCGACTGATGCACCTTCACCGCCGCCCCCCCAGCCGCCGCCCGGGTTGTCGCCAAACTCGTCACCATCGTTGTCATTATCGTCCCCAGTACCAGCCAGCGGACAGCAGACCAACTCATTGGAGAAGGCACATTGCCGGTGGTCTAACGTCGTGATTCGCAGTGGTGACCCTATCAATTTAACTGGTTTATGGGACCGAGTATCCCAGATGTCCCTGGATTCTAATACATCTATCGGCCCCAGGCAGGCCGATCGGCTATTACAGCTAGCACTCACCATTGCCTCCCCGCCTATTCTAGTGGAAGTGAAGCGCCAGCTAGAACATCTACGCCGGGAACAAAGTAATGCCACTCGGCGCTTTCAGCGCAGTGCTGCTGGAGTTTTCGCAGCTGGTATCTGGCATAAAAACAATGAGCAAACCTCCCGTATTGGTCTTGTATTGACTTATTGGTATGTTCACAACTACCGCCAGGAGCAGGGGAACTCCAGTGATCCAATTGCCCAACTGGCCACCGATATATATAATCACCTTCCAGATACCGCCCGCGACTACAGCGAGGTCGAGGAGAAAGTAAGAGACTGGTGCAAACGCGCATGGCCTTGGAATCAACTAGTACGCATTGCTGGCTCACCAAATGTGCTCTGCTTTCTACCTCAAGGCATAACCTACTTTCCCGGTGAAGATGCACCGTCCATGACCGAATACCGGTGTATCAAAAAGCACTGCTTCAAAGCTATAGAGATGGTACTTCGAGAGTGTCGGCCGCAGTTACTAAAGTTCATCCCTCAGAACTTCTTTGAAATCTTTCTCTATAATCAGCTTCCAGAGACTCAATACGCAATTGAGCAGTGGACAGAGGAGGAAATTCTAGCAGAACCGCTAGACTCGGACAAATTTGATCACGCGTTCGATCCAGTTTTAGATACAAACATAGACAGCAATTAAAGGGCACTGCTATATAATCTATCAGTTAGACAAATATTACTTAAATTCTTTATTTCTTACCATCGTTTCTCAATATAAATAAAGCGGAATCTGTATCGCCTACAACTATAGAGCATCTTTACTATTGATCGTAAAGTAATGAATAAAATTCTCTGATCTCCCGGGCGACTACAATATATTTTTAAGACAAGGAAAAGCTTACTGGATCCGGATTATAAATAACTAATATATAGGGTCCTGCTCTCTATGCCCGCAAACCTCGCTATATCAAGCAAATCAATCATGCTTTCTTATTCTAGAGCCTTCCATCTCTGGATGACAGTGGTTTGCATATATTAATTCCTGGAGTTTCCCGAAGCAAGATCTGGATTTTACAGGGACACACGGCATTCCCGGTGTACATACTCCTTGAATTGTTGATGGCACTACCAGTGTTGCTATAAGCCTTTCTCATGCGTCGGATACCGTGCAAGAGAAGACTGGGAGGTGGAAAGTACATCTCCATTCCGCCTGCCTCGCTCTTTGGTGGTTAGGAAGTTTGACTATGAATCAAGACTAAAATAGTAGTCCCCATCTGTAATTTAGTGTCTAGATACATTATTTTCATCATATTTGTTGAACTGACTTTGCCGTTTGGGTGTGAAGGCGACATAGGCGGGAGCGCAACAGACGTTATTCACATGCATGAAATCGGTGATTTCGGCCTACCTCCGCGAAGTCGAGAGGTAAGGTTATGACCATAATCCTCGTAGGTCATCCGTCCAGTAGGGTATAATGCTGCCCAATCTTGACCTGGATAAATTCTTTCTCTAAGGAGCAGCAGCCCCTATCACCAGGGTGTCAGTAATGTGACTTATACTTCTATATCCAAGGCCATCCGAAGCCTTCTTCTCTTGAGCAACATATTGGCAACCGCGCTCTCACTGTGCTCCGTCTTGTTGTTGATTATAGGTGCTTGCTGCTGGTGCTCGTACGCAGGAGCACGTGTGTATACTTCTTAATAATGCTGGAACTAACAAAGGATTGTTGTATCTGAGCTCACACGGGGCCAGCGCTGTTATTCGCGGGTTATATATCCATCAGTACTTGTACTATGTACATGTATAATAGTCGATAATACAGTCTTTGCTGACAATAGAAAATTTGTTGCTGTCCTTCAGATCAATATCTTATTCAGCAATTACGACTATTAACGCATACTGTAATATAAAAATGCTCAAATTAACATATCTATTTGAAGTATGGATTTTATTTAAGAATGTTACAACAGATAAAAGTAGTAAGCGCTCTCATGTGCTTTTCTAAGAAAGCAAACACTAGTAACACCATGGTATGCTCAATTCCCTTCCCACAATTCTGAAAATCTTGTTGTAGTCTTTATGTTCTGCAAATATTAGGTCATGCTCTGGCACAGCCTATTGATTCTACCCTCGCACAATCTTATAAGCTATGATCTCCTCGGAATCTGCCTGATGGGAATAGACAGGATAGGTTGTCGACAATAAGGTGCGAAAGAAAAGAAGGCAAGTGTTCCTTCAATCAGGCGCTCATCCGAAAGCATGGCCGTTCCAGTCTCAAGGTGATATGGGCTAGCAGCGTTTATACATGGCAGGCCATCCGCTGCCCTCCAATTTTTGGTTGATTTATTCTCCCTTATATCCCATTCCAAGCGAAACTCCAATCCTGCGTAGTCAAGTCCAACAACAAACCTCTTCTCAAGATACTCGCTCGAAACCGACATCAACAAATCAAATACCTTAACATCGACACTTTCCCCACGTATATTCTCGCATGTAGTGATGGGGCCATCGCACGGTACTATGTCCTGATCGTCGACATACTGTTTAAGAATAAGTCCTTGATCGATGATCTTACCAAGCTTGCGAAAGGCTCTTTCACGTCTTGCATAGTTTTGCGCCCTACGACAGACGCGAACCAACCTTGAGGCTCGCTTGGTAATTGTTTGTGATTTGGGCGGTATTGCTATGACCCATATCTCCAATCGATCACGGTCGCAGCTCCTTTCTGTGTAGTATGCTTCTGGGTCCATGATGCGTTGCATCAATAATTTGCAATCAGGGCCCAGTAGGAGGATCTGGCACTTGTCACGTATCCAAGGATCAAAGGCCCGCATCGTGGGATCTATATCCCGTAATGGATGAAGGAAACGACGATAACGCTGGCAAAGCGAGGTCGAGGATTGAACTTGAAGTGCCACGAGCAATGAGCTGACATCGGACGCCGATAGGGCCGTCATCAAGAGTTGAGCTATTTCATAATAACCCTCGTGCCTAACAATTGTCGGAAGATATTCAAGTGTCTCTTGCGCGGCATCTGAGTATTGAGCCGTAATGGATGAGGACATTGTTGCGAGTACTGTAAATTGTGGTGATGGTGATCACGAGGATATAAGTCATATAGTGAATGGTCAACTAATAGGAACAGGATAAACCACCTGCAACCCAGTTGGATAGATGTGATTATTTATATACTAAGACATCAGGTATATCTGGAAGGTGAACATTCCATGCAAGCGAGCATTCCATTCTAATACATATAGAGATGCACTTGTAGAATATTGTATTAAGCTCGAGCAAGAAGTGGAATAAGTAGTTTACTTGATCTGGAAAAGGGTTAGTACCTCCCTTTATACTACTAACTTTATTTCTTATAGTGTCTACTACTGGTTTACATTCTACAAGATTTATCGCCTTTATACTACCCAATTCTTTGGATAGAGTATTATATAGTATTGCGGGGTGCCAAAAGGCGCTTCTATTGCATTGTTAAGTTGCTCTGCTCACCACTGTGAGAGATCTTAGAAAGGTATAAAATAGTCAGGAAGAGTACCGCATCCGATACAACCAACTTATACTAGAGTAGGACGCCCAGAAAGGGTTAAAATAATCCTCTCCCAAGCATAGTACAGACGATGAGAACTTTTATTAATTCACCAGGTTCTTCACGCAACCCAGAGCTCACCACTCTGTTCTCTATCTGCTCATACATTACGCCTCAAAATAAATATAAGCGCCCCTAGTCATGTCCACTTAAAATTCCTGGCATCCACTAAGCTGACACTACGCGTCGCGATTCCTACTAGATAACACGCAACAGAAAATCTGTTTACCTAGAATAATGACTTCTAGAATAGTGTTTTACAGCTTGACCATGCGTGCTGAAGCGGACCATCCTGTAGCGCTTTGTATCTGATTTGTGAGCCCTGGCGAGAGCCGTTTGGCATCCCGTAAGATCACTGGCCTGTTATGTATACGCGCTGAAAACGGCTCCCATTATATCGCGTATCTACCTCCACGCACCGCCTACCGTCTTAGGTGATACTTCTTACCAGCGGGGTAATATCCCTTGCCTCTTGAGGATAGCGCTTCGCCGCGCCGTCCTACTTCATCCGGTCACGAGACTACTACCCCTTGTAGTGAGCTGCATTTTTTCATTGAAGAAAAATACAGAATCGAAGAGATACCCTTTGACAATGTTGGTGCTAGTTAAGATCTACAGTTCCTTTCCATTATTGAAGAACTTACTGATGTGACTTAATCGTAAAAAAATGGCCGTAGGACGTGCTCTTTGGTAAGTTTAATGCTACGAGTCTTTGTCAAGGCTGTCTAGAAAGCAATCAATTCGACAGCATTACAGTGGAACGTCGGTAATAAGTGGCTTTCCCATCATGACTTTGGGCTCCAGTCATGTGATGAACCGGGTGCCCCACCATGCCCCTCACCCAAATGTTCGTTCGAATGAAGAGTTCCTTCTTCCTTGTGTACTTACTTTATCGTAGAACAGGTATTAGGCCATTTCTTTCTGACGCTTGACAAACGCAACGAGGACCCTAACAGAGCGAACCACATTTTCATAACGCATTTACACTGTTCTCCTCCAACCGGGCCAAAGGAGTGAGTGTCTCCCAATATTATATCATCGAGCTTCGTCTATTCGATTTGTGCTAGGTATGAAAGCTCTTTTGTCTACCTGTCTAAATGAATCTTATTAACTAGTGGTATAACATAGTGCATAGGATACTCGTGTTTTTATGGACAAACTGGCGCGTTTTTTACGGACGGCTCACTGGCAACAGACGGGCCAAAATACATATTTCTGTGATGACCCCAGATTAAACGCTTTATGGGTTGATCTTATTGAGGATCTGCCGGCATCGCTGAGAGGCTACGGACTCCAGGCGTGGAAATTAAATGGAACAATGAAGATACTGGAACCAGAAGGTTATATACAACCATTACCTTCTATTCCTGGCGAAACGACCTCAACTGATACCAACGAGCCCCAAATCATAGGAGGGCCTAAACTGACACCTGAGTCAGGTCCGATTCCTTTCCAGAAAGAAACTATTATTACCGGATCGCTTCATTTTATAATAGCGCTTCCTCCGACAAGAAGAAAATAACATAACGCTTTGCATAACGTGACGGATTCGTTAAAAAACTTTTCGACTTGTCGATATCCCTTCAAAACCTTTCAGGTGTTGAACAAATTGCCGATATCCGACTCCTGAGATATAAAATATGGATAGTCTGAAAACGTCGTCATGTCGGGGGGGGGGAATTGAGGGTACGAAGAAAATCTAGTTGTATCGATCGATTCTGGTAGCACAAACTGTGGATAGTTCGACAGGCTCGTTATCTCTACGGGCTCGGGGGGTATAATTTGGGGGAAGAAGTACGGAGATAAAGTTTCCACAGCCGCTGTGCTTGCCTGGGCCTGAGAAATGTGTACGGACCGATCCGGATGACTGTCCGCGTTTGTGTTTGGCTGAGACTCTGGCGAGTGGAGAGAAGCAATATCGTTTGGGTTCCGGTCAACTGAAGGAAACATCGTTGGTGCCGCTATCTGAGATTGTGGAAACCCTTAAAAATCATTAGTTATATCACTGTGGACGCGGTTTATTCAGAATGCTTACCACTGCCCATACGGAAACTTGTATTCTTGTTGGATGGCGTGCTTGAAGCTATATCATTCCGCGAATTTGGTTGATAATATTCCGCCCTCCTCCACCTTTCCGTGTTCATGAGAGGACTTTGTTGAGGTGTTATGGTATCTGACACAGTATGCTGTACCCCTGTGGGCCATGTCTTTCTCACCTCACCCTGATCTTCGGAATCAGACGCTCTGGGCTGAGGGCCGGAAACTAGAACGCGTCATTAGGTATCAACCATTCATCTATAGAGAGAAACTAACCTATAGATGTATTAAAATCGATATATCCCTCTGTACTCCGCCGAGGTTGTCTAGAACCTGTACGAAACGTGACTCTAATTCCAGGATCTTCCGCATTCAAGTGACTTGAGCTTTCGTAATGGAGCGGCTCTACGGAATCACCAGATTGTCTATGAGAATTCGAACATTCCATGTCTTGGAGTCGACTGGCGGTGGGTGGTATAACAGAAATATTGTCACTATTGGCACTTGTCTGACCTGACAATGATTCTGCGTGTTGAGGATGGGAATGCGGTGAAATGTGTACACTCGACAACTGACGGTTTCGTGATTCTGTATCGACATAAGTGTTGTTGGTAAGGGCCAGCGCTGTGAATGCAGAAGCTTACCAATAGCTGCACCCAAAGCGCTATCCTCCGCGGTATGCTTATTCTGCGTAGACCCGGACTGATTGTCGGGTTCTACTCGTTGGTTAATCCTGATGACATTCTCACTGCCGTTTGCTCTCGTATGTTGTGATTCATGTACTGAAGTGTCATCCCCGAGTCGGTCCGTATTAACGCCAACAGTAGCGGTAGGAGAGCCATGGTTCACTCAAGAGGCACGGGCTTTGTTCACCTTTCGTCTTTTATACTCGTGTGACTTATACTCTGCTGAAGTGGTCAGGATGGTTTACAGTACAGGAGAGTATATCATACTTAGCGTTTCAGACGAAGTCCTTTTTTTACCCCCCCGGACGGTTTTATATGAATCCACATGGAGCTTACTTTCAAGTTCCTTAGAAACGAACTTCCCTAGGCTAATTAGATTATAATCTTCCACGATACGCTTGATCCCACGTTCATGGAGCTGCTTGCATCTTTGTGGGATGGTGCTACGGTTACGCCTATCATAGTAACTAAAGAGTGTTAGTATAGGAGTAATGTAAAGATAGATAAACATACGTTGCCTCATGCACAGTCTGCGGCAAAGCAGCAAGATACCCATCACCGCCAAGGGCTTTACTCCAAGATGCATAATTGCGTCCCTCATTGACAGCTTCCTCAAGTCTTTTCGTATTGATTCTTTGTTCTTTGTCAAAGGATGGGTATTGGCGTTGAATAACTTCTATAAGCAAGCCAGACCCGTTCGTAGACCATCTTTGACCTGTATGATAGTGATATTTAACAGCACTTCGGAACATGTTCAATTTTTCGAAGCGGCACTTAATTGTATTGACTTCGACTGCATCTTTTCTCTGTCCCAGTCTACTAACAGCTGTACCCCAGTGGTACTCTGATGAGACTTTTGATTTCTCGATAAAATACTTATTGTGGCAGTTACTCCATTCCATAAATGTCTTTCTCAATGTGTCCGTGATCACAATCTGGTATGGTAGTTTAATACCATTGTTATTGTGTGAGTGTGAACATTCAGGGGCCGTCGACTCTGTAGTCTTTCCTGGATTCTCAAATGTAAAACAGCGATTAAGAGACAACTTCTTCGTATTAGGAAGGATATTGATACGACTCTGAAGATCCTCCTTGGAAACAGTCTTATTTGTCTCTAAGAACTGGACCAAGTCGCTCAAAATTCTATCAAACTCGAGAAGCGCGGTATTATTCGATAATGACTCCATAGCAACTGGTCTGCAACGAGCGTAAGAGCAAGTTGCGAGTAAAACGTCGTTGGTGAGCTGACCAACTGGTAGCTACCCCGCTCCAGAATACCCCTGTCCCTTCTTGCATACGCTATACCTTTTTCACTTCTTGTTGTCGGGCCGTCAACAACGAGCGAAAAAGGTATAGCGTATACGAGGGATGTGACTCCTCCCTGCACAGAGTACACCTATGAGTAGATAAAGTCAGCAAAAAAAAAAAAAAAAAAAAAAAAAAAAAAAAAAAAAAAAAAAAAAAAAAAAAAAAGAAAGGAAGAAAGCGGCAAGTACTGAATAATCATCGTCGGACTCATTGGTCTCCTGTTTTCTCGTGTAGATATTCTTCAATATCCGATGTGACATAGTGCCGCTGTAAGCTTTCTAATGGAAGTCTACCTTCATTTCTAAGCTATCTAAACTATTCCCATTGCCCACTTTTACTAACTGTTATTTAATTTGAATGATTAAACCAACCAAGTATTTGTCTCTACTTAGACAATCCGACTTGTCTAAATCTGGCAGATATTTTGGAAAGCAAGTAATAAGAACAAGACCAATGATAATCAAGCTGCTTGATAGGTTACACAAATAACAAAACATGGTATGTTCAGAGTCCCACTTCTCTATTAGAATTATGCCGCCTGTATGAGTGTGAGGCATGCTGGCTCTCGGGTTTATGATTTTTTATGGTCTGTGTATCTCCCTGTATAGTATTTATATTATAAGACCAATGTAATTCTGATCATTCGCTGCATATCATTTCAAACAATAAATTGGGTCTTCCAAATTTACACTGGTAATCTGTACTTCTCCTACTTACAACCTTACCAGTCTTTCTCGTTACAGTATGGCCTGCCTCAGCGACATGTTTCTGCATGTAAAAATCCCACCATGGCTCAAGCAATTCTGCTACAATCGATGCGGCTCCGAGGATTTGACCGACTGGGATGATGGTGGTCAGGGTGTGAACAGCCATTTTGGAGATGGTGCTGTCGGATATGATGGACTGCAGAGTGGTTCTTCTGAGTATCAAGCCCGAAGACCGTTAACCTATGACAAAGGCCAGCCAAACCTACCGGTGTCAACGAAGGGTCAGCAATACGGCTTGGTTCCAAAAGAGTGCAATTGCTCCTTAACTCCCAAGACACAGCCCATAAAACCAGCTTCACCAGTGAGTCCAGCAGAAGAGGCCAGGGCGGTGATCACGCCAACCTTGCGCAGGGATCGACCACCAAGTTTCATGAGTAGTGGAGAAATTATCGCACTCCCTAGCCCACCCCCGCGTCTAGTAGTAAGTGATCTTTGTCTTGACTTCGAGTATTACCCGTTAAGGACTGGTTTTTTATAGCTGCCGCCCCTGCCTAGCAAAATATACGACGTGGTTGATGCAGAGATTAACTTTGGAATCTCCTATTTCACGGCTTATCACGACTTTTCCGTGAGTGAGCGAAGGATTTTGTTTTCTGCTCGCATCCAACAGAACCCTGGGGAAGACTATATGATCTCCTGCCCTCTAATCATTGGCGCTTCACACCTTGCTGAAACTAGTCGAATATCACTCCAACGCAAGCTAGACGCCGCTCGTGAATGGGTACCAAATTCAGTCTGGAAACTATTTAGAGTGGAACAATCTACAAGTCTTATGATCTATATATAAGAGGCCTGTCTCTAGCTCTTCTCAAGACATCGAATCCATATATAGCCGCTCTGGCTTTGTCTAGATAGGAATATACAAGCTTCCTCTGGAGCAGCTGTTTTGTTCCCATAAACCTTTCCAACATGGACACTTCCAACATGGACACTTCCAACATGGACACTTCCAACATGGGCACTTCCAACATAGACACTTCCAACATAGGCACTTCCAAAATGGACGCCTTCCAATTCGCAATCGGTCGCCGCGAGTGGCCCAAGATAGACTCTGTTCGGGTTTCCTCTCTTTCCTGTGACTACTGCAACCAACACTATGTTTTAACATTCAATTACGATAAACGCAACGTTAGCCTGACCGTTAATCACTTCAAGTTTTTATGTATGGAAAACGAACGCGACAAACTAATATGGCTCGAGAACTATGTCCTGGAAACTCAGAACTTTACCACATATACGATGCATTATACTTGTCCTACTTTGGAAGACATCGCATATGAGGTCTATAGCAAGGACAGGCCAGATATAATACATAGTTGTTGTGGCTTTATGTGAGTTCTGTCATATCATTCCCATCCTATTCTTACTAATTACTGCAGAGGGGGGCTTATTGCGAACTACGTGAAGGACAGGTATCTTTCGCCTTCCGATATAGCGTCTTGTAAGTCCCATCGTACGATATAATCCATGTCCCTAAGCTAATAACTGTCAACAACCAGCATCATGATTGATGTATCCAGAAGGCAGTTAGTGGACAGCCCATTCAGTGATTTTCTTGCAAGGTTTGAGTGGGGCAAAAGACTGTATCTAAATGTTTATCCATTGTAGATCGTAATATACAAGAGCTAGTATCTTTAGCCCTATGGATTAACACAACCAAACTGTTGTAAACGCGCTCATTTAAGCAATCGCTAAACACTTAAAAGACGCAACACCACTACAACAAAACCCCTGCTTCTCAATCATTTTAAACATTCCTATCATTGGATGCTTATACAGTTGTATTAAGCCTATAACTTCGAGCAAAGCTTTGGTACGTGTTTATATAGAGAACTATTTCTATATGCAATATATTTATTTTTCCACCTGCAAGGGTTAACCTGCGCCAACGCCACCTTCAACCAACTGTTGATCCTGAACATTTTTATGAAGCGCACCACCACCTACAATACATATTATCAGAGTCCTATCGATGGAACAGAACGGCAATATCGCCCAACCTCGAGTGAATACGGCTATTGTATGGACTCTTTGTTCGGTGATGCTTGAAAACCCCCACGGCTTGGGCTATAGAATTGTCCACATTGAGGCAACTGCGGCTTTTGCTGATCTACATGCCATGGTATATTTCAAGTTGACCGCTAAGACAATCACTGAGCTTCTCAAAACATACACACATCAACATTCTGGATATAACATACATAGTTGGTTGAAAGGCTACAGATACCTTTTTTCAGTATTAGCCGAGTGTTGGTGTTGTATACACTTTGGAGACTTGCAGGATTTTTGGGATACAGAGGAGGATGGTGAACTACCGCTCAATATCTGCAACAGTGTTAAGTTAGACGTGCTGGGACTACTTTCCTCTTTAGGATTATATGATAACTAGCCAGCCCATCATATATGAACGTGTTTTACGTCAGAAACTCGATAACTAGCTGAGTCTGAAGACAAAAGTATCGGAAAGCAGAATCCCATATTTCGCCACTACGTTTTTATTGGTGCCTTGGTGGTCTTACGCATAATGTTGAGTCAACCTTCTCCGCAAGACCCCCTTCTATTCTTACCCATTTTTGCGCAGTAGTAGGTGCTCGGTGGCTTAGTGGCTTGGTGCACTCGCTTCATTCTGGAGTCGGAGGTTCTTATCACTCTCAGTGTCCATTCAGTGTGTGGGGAAGCGTAAAAAAATGAGATAGGGATCATCCTCTTCCAGAAGACATCCGCTAGCAGTATTCTCTCACAGAATTACCGTGTCACTTGTTTGGAACACACCCCAGATAGCCTATTGGAATCGGACAGGCTACCGATGCACCAATGACTGCCTGAGAGCATTCTATCGCAGCTGGAGAGCAGCACGGTTTTCTTGTCTTTCTTTCTTGCTTTGTTACCTTTTTTCTCCTCCTCTATCCAATGACAGCACATCAGTAAAAGGCCACGTAATCCATGTACCGTCAGAGTTTTAGGTCAGGGAATTCCTTCGCCAGGCTGCCTCCAATACATGCACTGGGCGTGCCTCGTATCGCTAAGACCAGGGCGGCTGTTTGACCCAGGATAGAACATATAAAGAGGGCCAGAGCTTTTCCCAAGGGGCGAGTACCCAATGCTATCAATTCAGAGCACTCAGTCACATTCAAGTTCAAATGGCGTCCAGTATCAACTCCACGAGTGTGCCCTCTGGCATGCTGCCATCGGTGATCAACGTGACAAGGTTACCATTTGATCTTCATTGCGAAACGGACTTATCGGCTTTACGCATCGCAGAATCGCGTGGTCAATTTAGATTACACCACACTGCCTTCTACATCAGAGTTAGTGCCCATATCTTCTGGTGGGTTTCACCCAAACCTCGTATCCTTCTTCTTGAACGCGCTCTTTGCGATACCAGACCTGGGTATTGGGAGCCACCCGGTGGGGCTGCCGAACATCAGGACGAAACACCGGGAGATGCCCTAAAGCGAGAGGTTGGGGAAGAGACTGGGTTGCAACTGTCCCAAGTCACTCATACGCTCCCGACTCAAACCTGGACGCGGCCAAAGGGACGCGAAGACTACAATTGGGTTGGCCTTCCATGTATCATCAAGGTCTCTGAGCTTGAAACTTTTGAATCACGCGGAAGTAGCCAACGTGCGTCTGAGCCTGTACTGAAATGGGAGGACATTATACGACTGAATCCTGAGGAGCACCAAAATTTTGCATGGGCAACAGAGAATAAGGTGCGACGCGACAAGTATAAGATGTTTGGAAATCACAAGGAGACTGCCCTCAAGGCTTTTGCAGCAGTGACAGAGAACTGCTCAGTCTAAGTATGGGGTGTGTGGATGGAATGAGGCTGGAGGATGAGGCTGGAGGATGAGGCTGGAGGATGAGGCTGGAGGATGAGGCTGGAGGATGAGGCTGGAGGATGAGGCTGGAGGATGAGGCTGGAGGATGAGGCTGGAGGATGAGGCTGGAGGGTGTGGCTGAAGGTCGAGGCTGGAGGACGAGGCTGGGAGGCTAGAATAATAAAAGTCATGCGAGAAAGAAGTAAAGTCAAGAAGGTCAGGATTAATTCCAAACTTTAGACTAGTCTTCAGAAATATGATAGAAGATGGGTACCCACGGAACAAAAAGCAGAGAAAGCCAATACATGCTGTCTGGGTGATTCTGTGCCAACAAGGTCTATACTCCGTCATAATACATTCACGTGATCGTAAGTCTCCATTCTCTATCTCTGGAATTCGATCCAAAACAAACCGCTGGGCAGACTTTCCATTCCAAGAAACACGTCTTTGCCTCCATGTATAATATTAGCAGCTTACACTGTACTTTCTATTTACTTAACTATAATATTTCTGCTATCTATCCCTGACAACTTGGGAGCCTATTTACGCGTCGCCGTTTTATCATGCCTGCCTAGTCAAGAGCCAATCGAAACCAATACCATTTCACTATCTCCGTACAACTTATGGATAGCACAAGCTCACCAGATTATAAGGCGCTTTTTCTGAGAGAAGCCGAGCGGAGGAAGGAAGCAGAAGAACGCCAGCGGAAGGCAGAGGAAGAACGGGAGCAGGAGAAAGAGGAGAGAAGGCGTGCAGAGGAGGAACGAGATCAGGGCAGAGAACTAACGCGGCACACCACCTTTCTAGAACTTCTCCGTCACTGCCATATCCTTTTCTCGCTTCCTTTACGAGCCGCATCGCCGTCTAAATCCACAACAGGAAAAATACCGCAGCCAACAGGGAAATACTGCCCGCGACGCCTTCTACCTTGGGAAGACTGTGCAGTTAGGCAACAGGAGATTTACCGGTCTGTTTGCACCTATCTGGAACCTGAAGGGAAGGCTGCGGAACAGCGATTTTCACCGCGCCTTGCGCTGGAGGACTTGGGTAAACGATTTGATGAAAGACCAATAAGCAGTGAGCAGGATCTGCAGAGCTATGAACGATTTGGTGTGGAGAACTATGTTCGTGATATTATTGTAGCTCTCTGCAAGATACCAGCCGCTCGAGATGAATTTGGGCTGGGCGATGGAGTTATGTTCGAGAATCATGCGAATGCTCTTGATCCCGTCGAAGCTAGCTATCTTCAACGAAATGAATTGTCGAGTTCCTGGCGTTCAAAACCAGATCAATTTTGTATTCACCGAGTTGATGGTGGTCATAATACTCTTCTAACAACAGTTGAGTACAAGCCACCCCATAAGCTATCCGTTGAAAACCTTCGCGCAGGATTACGGCCGATGGACTTTTGGAAAGAGGTTGTTCGGTCTGATTCTGTCCCAACCGAGGAAACCGCGAAACTGGAATACAATGCAGCTTGGCTGACAGGATCTGCTGTGACCCAAGAGTACCATGTGATGATTCAGGAGGGACTTGAGTACTCCTACTTGACTAACGGACTTGCGCTGGTTCTGTTACATGTCCCCTGCGATGAGCCAAGCACCCTATACTACCACCTCTGTGAGCCAAACATGGAGATCGATCTAGATAATGACTGCAGCTTCGAGCAGCCACTGACGGCTATTGCACGGGTATTGTGTCTGTGTCTCATGAGCTTTAGCGCGCGACTTCGCGACCAGGCGTGGCGAAATGATGCAGGGCCGGGTATACCAGTTTGGGAGACGAGTTTTGATTATACTCGCTCGCAAATTCCAGAAAGAGAATTACGGCAGCACCCACCGGGTTCAGAATATAGTCCCTTAGAGAGCTCTGGGCGCACTGTCTCGGAATATCTGCCATCGTCCTCTCCTATTGAGTCTCCCACGAAAGGACGTCGAATACCAACTCGCTCTCGAGTTCAATGTGCCCCGGATACAGTAGACCGTGGGGATTCTCCAGATTCCGATACTGATTCTGCTCCCGGTAGGCGGAAGCGTGGCTTCAGCCAGGTCTCATCGTCTCCATTATCGCCATCCGTTCAACGACCCGCACGTCAGACGGGCTGCCGGTTTAATGAAAGCAGCCGGCGTCACCACAGAGCTCAATTTTGTACCCAGCGATGTCTGCTTGGCCTACAGCAAGGGGGCAAGCTGGATGGAAATTGCCCGAATGTTATGCTTCATCAGCAGGGTGGAAACAACAGTCGACACCTCCTCGATGCCCAGAGCTTGGTTCAATGTATCAAACAGCAGCTGGATGAAAATCTTGACCGCGACTGCACGCCCATGGGACGCTGTGGGGCATCTGGAGCACCCTTCAAGATAACCTGCACTGCATATGGATATACAGTCGTCGGTAAAGGAACCACATCTTATCACTGGAACGAAGTGAAGCGTGAAGCGGATATTTACCGCATACTTTCGAAGGTTCAAGGATCTGCCGTCCCTGTTTTTCTCGGCACGGTTGATCTGGCCAAGACCTACTTCCTCCATGGAGCCGGGAAGATCCGCCATATGCTGCTCATGGCTTGGGGGGGTGAACATATTAAAAATATCCAGGCTAACGATGTAGCCAGACGAGAGGTTTCAAGGTCCAAGAAACAGATTCGGTCTTTAGGAGTATTACACCGGGACCTTCGGCCAGAAAATATTCTGTGGAGTACCGAGCTAAACAGGGCCTTAATTATTGACTTCCATTGTTCTCAATTAGACCCGCGACCGGTAAAACGGCGGCGAAGGTGGTCGGACAAATTCAGTTACGAAGAGGCACATGAGCGAAAACGGCTTTGTGCATCCTGACTTAAGTTTATACCCAATATAAGTATACTTAATATGACCTCTACAGTACGTCCTTCAGAAACTGGACATTGTCGAAATCTCTACACGAAGTTCACTTTTTCGCGAAACAGTGTGCGCTGTCTGCACTTGATTATTGGACAGTCTTCCTACTTTTCATCAAAGAAATATTGCTGTACTAAAAACTATGACTGTTCTTAATTGGAATACTATTTCTTCAACAGTCTTCATGCCCGGGTCTCGGGCTAAGATGGGACAAAGTACTCCGGGCGCCGAGTGGGCCGCATAGAACGTCGAACCCCTTCCATGGGCGACGGACCATACGATCCTGACGACAATTCAGGTTCAGCGGGGGCCTGCTCTGATAACTCATCCCTCCGGGGCAGATCAGGAGCGGCCGGCAATGTAGCAGACTGCGAGGCCTCGCTGGCTGCATCTAGGAATGACCTCGGGCGTGCGGCGTGAAATCCATCGAAAAGGCGGTCTTGCCGACTAGAAAGCATGTTAGCCACAATTTTGCGAAGCCACGACATTATACCTAAGTCTCATACCAATTAGGACAGCTAAAGTTGGACCGAGGGGGGCGGTGCATGAGCCAGCCCTCCATGCACCGCCAGTGGAACTCTCCCGCGCACTCTTCACAGTTAAGGTATACCGTGTCTTCGGAGTGACGCTCGCGGCAGATGCCACACTCCACATCTGAGATGTCACGGCCCTTACGAAAAGAGCGGAACATAACGGACCCGGTTTGCCCAGAAGCCGTCGAGACGGTCACCACCGCTGGCCGGGTAGATGACACATGGAATGGTATCTGGTTCTCCTGAACCATGGCGACAGTGACTTCCTCTCTTTGCTGGTGGGTAGTGGGCAGGCTTGTTGAGCTTCCAGATACGCGGCGCTCCGCCCTTGTTGTCGGGACCCGGTCGCTCCGGGTATGACGGCGTTGTGACGAGTGTGAGGGAGCTGGACTTGGTATGGGTGCTTGCTCTGGCGAGAGGCCAAGACGCGTACACCACCGCTCGCTCAAGGAAGTCGCCTGGTCTTGATGTCGCCGCTTGCAGAGGAGACCAGCAATTTCCTGCAGCTTTGAAACGAGAGATTCATTGATAGGACACATACTTAGGATTTCCAGTCTGTGAGAGGCCATTTCACGGGATTCTTTGGACACCTTGTTCCTACACGCATCCCCATTTTTGGCGACTCCAATGCAGGTGCAGTGCCGACTAGGGTCTATGGTTTCGCAGATTGTTGATGGATCCCAGCGTTGACGAGGCGCTTCGACGGGTTGAGGCATTGTGGCTGTATAACAGGATTGAAGAGAAGCAATGCTAAACAGAGATATAGTAGTAGGATGGAAGCGGCCCTTTTTATAATTGAATTCTGCACGCGGCATCTTCTAGTGAAGCTTGTGATAAACCGCGGCCGCATTGTGGATGATATCGAGTATTTTGGAACCCCACGAAGATGACTAGGACTAGAAACATTATCGCCCCACTCCATCATTCGCCCTTCTGCGTTTTGATATTCTTGACCAACGCACCTGCAGAGACCTAACATTCCATCCAGCAAAGACCTGACTAAATCAGTACTTGATCTGCTCCAACGATAGCCCTCTAGCTACTAATCTCCATAGGAGGCCGTCTTCAGCCGTAGAATAAGGATGGACCTTGCAAGATGTATAGAAGGAACATGACACTTTGGCTCTTACTTCAGCTCTCACCCTGGCCCTTGTTTAGTGGCCGCTTACTATGGATTTTGATTCCAGTTTCCAAAGGAGTACGAACCAGCCTCTTTCGACTCATAGAATCGGGTCAGCCGAATGCCGCTATGCTAGTCTGAGGAGCTATTTATCAGCTAACTGATACAAAAAAGTACTATTCTAGAATCGTGTTCCATCAGACACGCGCTCCTTGACTTCACGTAAAATTCTTTCAATTGGTCCATCGTGCCCGGTGTAGATGTGGTCGTGGGCGAGCTTTCCGGTGCCACCTCGCCTTGGGCATCGGCTGGTTGTTGGAAATCCACGACATCGGCCAATCCCAACTTGAGAATGTTCTCTGCACGCTCTGCGTACGCACTAGGGTCATCAGGAGAAGACACCACCATAAGACCAACAAACTCCTTTACATGGCCCTCGGTCTCCATGTGAGGAAGGAGCAGCATATTAAACATAAGTGGACCAATCTGCTTCGTATTGGCAAGACAGTCAGGGACAATATTACGTTCCATTATGGGTACGACGATGGTCCTCTGCCTTTACTTATAGCCGCTATCCTCTTTATTGACCATCCCTGAACACTCCTCTCATGTCTCTCATACAAACCTCAATTGGCTCCTCAATATAGATAAATGTGTCGGCCCTCAGAAGCAACATCCTAGCTTTGGCGTTCGCAGAGCCCCGAAATCGCCGTACTGCAATTCAACAACCGCCTTCACTACCTCTGGTCACGAATGTACGAGAGAAATCACAATGTTTGCCTTGGAATAATAATGGCAATGCCGATTGCCCATATTTATTACTGTATACTGGTTTTTCTTGTGGAGAATTTACCTGCTTCGGAGATATACCCGGCATTTCGGTGAAAAGTCGTTTTAGACGGGGATTGAAGCGCAAACGGTGTAGCTAAGGCAGGATCCAGTTGGCTTCGAGAACGGCTCTTGGCAATATAGATGTTGATTCATGGTTATATAAAGGGGTAAAATAAACCAAAACGGCCATTGCTTGAAACTCCGCCGACTGATATTTGTTACAAGAAAGCAAGCGAAAATGCCACCAAACATTGTCAAAATATATAAACTCCTATGGAACCCTTAATAGAATTTTGTATTCGGCGGGAGCCCCTCAGCCTGGTCATCTCTCTGTATTCGTTAGTTAGCACACCAAATGATTCTAATCTAGACAGCAACGGAACCCATACCAGAGCTTCCATAAAGCCCTTCACAAGCGCAATTTCGTGGTCGCAGTAGGCCATCTGTTCAGGTTCAAAGTCGGTGAAGGTTGTTGCAACATCAAAGTCAATCCAGACCAGCCTGTCGGGGTTTCCACGGACAAGGAGAAGGTTTTTGGGGTAGATGTCTTGATGGTGAACACCCGCCCTGTGTATCTCATGCATGCCCTCAATTGCCTGGGGATAGAGTGCGTCCGAGTAGTTCACGCAGTTTAAACTCTCTGCATTTGGGAAATATTCTAGCAATATTGCTCTCGGCCTTAGCTTATCCCGGGTGAAAGCTTGTAAAGCAGGCTGGAATACTGCGGGATCCATTCGATCGATGTAGCCGTAGAATTTTGGTACGAAACCGCGTGTACAGACACCAGAAGTGAGAAGCTTCATATAAGCATTTAACTCGCAGCGAAATCTGTTCAAATCACGACCATTTTCGGTATATCCAGGGTCGCCGTTGTCGTGGAAAAGCTTCAATGCATACTTTTGTCCATCCAGATCTACCTCGAATATTGCAGACGAATCAGAGCACGTAATCTGCCTGACAATATTAATACTGGAGGCGTCCATATTCTTCAAAAGGAGGCTTCTTAGGTGCATTGTTGTCCTGTGGGAAGATCTATTTCTATCAAGGAGGTTGGAGCAGGTCAGAGAACAAAAAGTGGACAGGTCTTGGTTAATAATAGCCGGATTACATAAGTTAAATAATTTTGAATAATTTGCTAGTTATGGATCGCGAGAGGCCCAACCGCTGGATCTTGCGAATCAGACCCACTACATTGCCGCCGGTGGGAATCTCAAAGTGGGACTGTTTCGGTGGCTGCATGTAAGCGCCCAAGACAGTTGAGGATGCTCGCATCCGCACCACCTCCGGCGGAATCATTACCATAGCCTCACTGTTGGCTATTCTACGGTTTGTGTGGGGAGAATGGGTGGACTACAGGCGGGTGGTCACCCGCTGTGACTCTGAATGAGAACACGGGCGCTTCAGGTCCTATCGATCATGGTCCTGGTCCAACGTTCCAATGAGCGCTTTCTTTTACTCTGCTTTTGCTAAGATATGCACCTCAGGTAAGCGCTTACTGTTGTGCAATCACACCAATCAGTCTACGTGCTAACCCCTCACCATTGCTTCCCCATCAGATAGAAGTGTAATATTGGAGATTCGTTCCCTATATATCCAGTTACTTTTCCCCCAAGCCTTACATTTTGTTTCTCTATTCCCATTCCTCTGCCTATTTTGACTATCAGCTGCCAATAGGTATTAACCACGTGAAGCCATTGCTTCTAAGTCCTATTCACCAGGTGTGATACAGCACCACTACAATATGAGCAACCAGTCTCTTCTGCAGTATCTCTCTGTTGCCCTCCCGGCTATTCCTATTCAAGGTGCTGCCCCATCGCGGAATACAACAAACCCCCGCTATGGTGCGAGAGACATCACCCAGGTCGTCGATTGGCCAGAGTTCAATTATGCTACAATCATTCAACGATACGGCGGCATTTTGAACTCAAAGCAGATCGTTTCCGATCCTTTCAGGTCCCCTCCTGCCGCTATCAGAGATGAACCTCATTTCCACCTTCGATTTGCCGAGCTGCTTCAACCACGTGTTAGGCGCGCACTTCGAGCCGGGTTCGAGGAACTAGCACCCCGGCTCCAGCAACTGAACCTTGTGCCGATCACATTTGACGGCGGAGGCTCTGCAGCATACGTCGACCAGTTTCGACCAGACACTGCATTCGTCGTCATGGGGGGGACCTACGCCGACAGCACGAACCGAGCCCCAGGAGACATGAAGGTCTCGTGGAAATGGCGTTCTGACTACCGGTATTCGCAGAACGCCTTCTTTCACGAACAGTACAAGCAGGCCCTAGCGCAGGTGAATTTCTATATGCGCCAACACAAAGCGCGCCATGGATTTGTGCTTACTAACACCGAGCTGGTTGGGGTCAAACGTCTCGATACAAACGGCCATTTAGCTGTCTCTTCGGCGATCCCCTGGACAGCTGGGGGCCATGGCCAGCTTACTGTGCTAATGGGAATGTGGTATCTAGGGATGCTTGCAGCCGAAGAAACCAACTGGACCCTGTAACCCAGCTGCCTGTTTCTCATCTACTAGACCATAGTCAATATCAATTTGGAGGTTTCACCTAACCTCCCTTGGTGTCTGCTTTTTGGTGTTGTTCGCGTAACAAACGTTTATATATATATGAAGTAGTGCGTGGGTGAGCGACCCCAATTACCGGGGGTAGGGGCATAGGAGGGACTATATGTCATTGCCTCGGGATAATAATTGGCGCTGATCAACCTCACGTTAATGCCATGTACATGTCAGCTCTACGCACCCAATGAATACGTCACATTTTGCGGAAGCTGACAGAACAAGTAAAATGATTAGCGACGACATGGGTCTACGCCACAGCACCGCCTGTCACACTCGGGTTATAAAATCTCCCTCGAGGTGCCAGAGACCTGACAGGTGTAGAAAGAAAAGCAAAAGCACTGGTATGTTGACAGATGGCCAAACTTGTTGTCTATGGCATCTGTTGGTCCGATTTGCATAGAAGATCCCAGAGAACGTTGTATATTATTTACGAACAGTGTATGTATTTCTGGTGACAATACATAGTACGTTAAGGTTATATACAATCTAACTATATATGTACTAGTGTATCTTGGCACATATCCTAGAACATGAAAGAGTGTTTTGGGGGGCAGGCTCATTCTGCAGATCACTGTAGGTGAGGGGACTGTATCTTCTCTGACTGTACATACTCGATCTTCTCGAGGTGAGGGAAAAAGGACGAGAGAGAAGACCGTTGAAGAGAGAAATTCGTATATCAAACCATCGTGAGTTACTGAGGTGTTGTGGCTGTCATTGTGTGCCGAGCGGGCACTAGTCTCGGCCCGATGGCGATCCCGCCCGCAGGGGTTACCGAACCCCATCCCACAAACACCCAAGAAACAGCGACAATTTTCAGCGATTATGACTTTCGCCCAAGGATCCCTGCAGCAAGAAAACGCCGCAGGCGAGGCCTCGACGCAGGCGAAAATGAGCCGATCGCAAACCCTGAATTTGCGACCGGCGGAGAAAATAACGGGCGGGTGACAAACCAAGATGTCCGACAGTATTTCAACAGCTTTAATAAGGCACTTAAACACCAGACTGAAATAATTGAGACAGTAAGAACAGAGGTCCAAGAACTAAAAGCGGAACAATAGCTCCTGCGAACTCACAATAAGGAACTACAGGAGGAAATCCAGGCCCTACAGGCCAAACTGGAGGCACAACCGCTGAATATCTCTGTAAACAGATCCTGGGCGGAAGTAGCTGCTAGTAACCCTCAGCCAGACCCTGCGAGAACCGTCCCGCGCCCCAGGAAGAAATCTAACTGTGTCTAAATTAGTACTACATCAACCCTTGACCAAGATATTGATAACGATTGATTCTCAAGGACCCTACCCACTGAAGCAGCGAACACATATATCAGAACCACCCTGCTAAACACAGAGACCACCAAAAAAGTACAAGTCACGGGCATCGGTACTACCAAAACGGGATATATTATCCAATTCCGGGACACCCAGTTAGCAGAGACAGCCCGGAACAGCACCGAGTAGCTGAAAAAGCTAGAAAACAACACCAAAATAGTAAAGCCCCGATTTGGGATCGTGGTTCACCGAGTCCCAACTGAGGACTTTAGACTAGAAGAAAACAAGAAACAGGGAATCGAGAAAATTATAGCTAAGAATAACCTCCATAACAAGAAATTCTGGGTCGAAGATATCGCATAGTTGAAGAAGAGAGACATACCCCTAGGGAAATCTGCCTCGCTGGGGGTCTGGCTGGACTCGCCGAAGACAGCAGAATGGATTATCACAACAGACTACTAATAGGACAAAGATTCATCGGGAGTATAGAACCCTACCGGATAGAGAAAAAGAGATACCGGCACTGCCAACAATTTAGCCACCTAGCCTGGTTGTGCAAGGAACAAGTGAAGTGCGGATATTACACAGGTTATCACAACCAGCAGCACTACTTCCCAGGAATAAGACCGAGATACTCGGACTACAATGGAGAATACCCGACAGGCGACCGGACATACCAGATATCCCCTAACCCCAGTCTATCCCAATGACGGCAAACCTTCGCATCTTACAGTTAAACATTATAAAATCCAGGGCAGGGATAGAAGCCCTTATCAACAATTATCAAAGCCAGAACTTAGACCTATTTCTGATTCAGGAACCACTAAAGACAGTATACCATACCTATATAAACCATAGCGCATGGCGACTCTACCGACCCACGCACCCTAAAATATCTCGGTTTCGCAGCCTCCTCTATATCAACCGGAGGATCTCCACATCATCACACCGCCAGATCCAGTGTGATCACCCGGATATGGTGGCCATCAAGATTTGGACCCCAAAGCTCCAGTACCTAGTGTTCTCGATCTATATCCAACCAATCGCGTTACATAACTCATTTGAAGCGAGCAGCACACGCGAAATCTTGGCCGAAATCCAGCAAACTATCCAGGAACAAACAGAGCAGGGCGAACACACAACAAAAATTATCCTGGCCGGAGACTTCAACCGCCACCACCCAATATAGAGCCACCGTGCGGTACATCACGGCTTCGCAGAACACACAGACAAATTAATAAATTTCTTTCAAGACCACGAGCTCCAATAGTGCCTGGCCCCAGGCAAGACAATATTCTGGTCCCTGAACAAACCTGGGACGATATCAGTACTCGACCTCATACTTACAAACAATATAACACGGCTGATCAAATGCCAACTCTACCACAACCACTACAGGTCCGACCACAGGGGTATATACTCGGAATGGAGCCTCCAACCAGAGAAAATTAGGAAGCCCAAATTGAGGAGAGTATACGACCGAGCAGACTAGGTCCAAGTAGGCCAAACAATAATAAGAACAATTAACCTACAGTTAAGAATTCAATCTGAGAAGGACCTAGATCAGATAGTCAACTATCTAATTAAAACTACAATAACTGTGCTTGACCAGTATGTACCAGTACAGGTGCCATGTCTATACTCGAAGCGCTGGTTCACAGCAGACCTCAAGACCCAACAGATAGAAATTAACCAAGCCTGTCGGAGGTAGCAAGACAGTTGTACTACCCTGGGACCCAACCACCCAACAACCAAGGCAATATTTGTAGAAATACACACAAGAAGATATAAATAGACAAGAGCAATTGAAAAAGCAAAAACAAGTCACTGGAGGGAGTTTCTTGATAAAGCAGGCAAAGGCTATCTATAGAAAGCAGCCACCTATATATATCTATAAGACGCTTATACAAGTATCCCAACAATCAAAGTAAATACGGAGAAGATAACCAATAACTAAAGGAAAGTAGAGATATTCCTTGATTCCTTCTTTTTAAAAATAACAGAACTTGAAATAGAAATAGAAAGTAACTTCACAGAAGAAGAATTACCATAGAAGCCGATTACTGAACAGAAAATTTACCGATCTCTCCGAGCCGCCAAAAAAACTACAGTCCCGGATAGAGATAGAATTCCCACACTTATATAGAAATATCTATAGATATACCTGAAAGAAACAATTACCAATATCTTTACCAAGTCAGTAGATCTAGGCTACTATCCCAGATAATAGAAACAGGCGCGGATCGTAGTGCTACAAAAGCCGGGAAAACCAGACTATTCGGCACCGGAGATATATTATCCGATATTACTACTAAACACGCTGGGGAAACTACTAGAAGCTGTTATAACTCAACAACTCTTCTACTGGGCGGAGAGATTTAAGCTACTCCCGGATACATAATTTAGAAATAGACCAGGACAAAATATCGAGCAAGCTCTGCTGGTACTGGCCAATGCAGTATACCGAGCTTGGGAACAGTCTAAAATAATAACACTGATCACGTTTGATCTAAAAGACGCGTTCAATAGAGTCCACCAAACCAGCCTCAACACTCGGCTGCGAGTTAAAGATATTCCACCAAAGACCTGGCAATGGATCCGCAGCTTCATAGAAGACCGCCAAGCGAGTGTTATATTTAATAACTTTGAGAGTGAAAATTTACTACTGGAGTATACCGGCCTGGCACAAAAATCTCTACTTTTACCGATTCTGTTTAGATTCTACAACTCGGACCTGGTGAATCAAGTAGTAGACCAAAACAGTAGTATATCAGCTTTTATTAATAACTATTTCCGCTGGCAATTCTACCCAATAGTAGAAGAGAACATTAAGAAGATTCAGGAAGAAGACATCCCCTGAATTAAAAAGTAGACACGGCAAACAGGTATATCCTTTGCCGCCGAAAAAACCGAATTAATTTATCTTACCCGACAGAAAACGACCCACGGAAAAGGACAAATTGTCATCGACGGTCAGATTATCAAATCGACCGACACTACCAAGTTTCTTAGAGTGATCTTTAACAAAGAGATATACTGGAAGAAACATATACAGGAAGCAGTTAAACAGACAACTAAAGTAAATATAGCTCTAAGCGGGCTCAGACATCTCCGACCAGAGCAAATACACCAGCTATACTAAGTATATATAATACCAATTCTAGACTACGTATCTATAGTCTGACACAATCTACTCCGAGACAAGATATATCTACAACTTCTGGAGACAGTACAGAGAACAGCTCTTATCCAAATTCTTTCAGTCTTCCGGACAGTATCTACAGCTATACTCGAAGTTGAGTCCTATATTCTACCAACTCACTTGCGACTCAAGCAGCGGGGACAAATAGTGGCTGCTTGCTTCAGCACCCTGCCAGATAACCACCCGATTTACTAGATAATAAGCCGAGCAAAGAAATACAGTACTTATATCGATAGCGGGACCTGTTTTCCCCCAGCCGAAACACTGCGAATCATAAACCTCAGGCGGCTGCAGGCCTTAGAAATAATTGACCCCAAACCACTTATATTATGGCGGAGCCAGCCCTTTACAGAAATCGAGATAGAGCCTAATCGAGAGAAAGCGCAGGCCAATATACTAGTATAACAATCTACAACAAGTATCACAGTCTTCTCAGACACTTCAGAAAAAGAGAATCAACTAGGTACCGCAGCAGTAGTTCTTGACCACAACTGGCAGATAACAGGGTCCCGACAAATCAGTATCGGCTCAATAGAATACTAGTCGGTCTATACAGCCGAGCTTATAGCAATCTACTATATAATCGGACTGGTGTTCCAACTAGTATAGAAAAAGTATACTGTAACAATAACAACTCAAGGTCCAGCGACAATTCTCAGTAACAGTATATCTGTGCTACAAGTAATCGCAAACCTATAGAACAAATCAAGTCAGCGGATTATCCAGGGTATTTATCAGTCTACTGCAGAGCTAAAAGTATAAGAAATTCCGCTGCGACTACAATGGGTCCCGGGATACTGCGGTAACCCTGGGAACGAAACAGCAGACCGTCTAACCAAGGAAGTAGTGGGGGCAGAAAAGAAACACCCATTCCAATATCTTTTATCGCGGGAGAAGACTTTCATCCGCAACAAAATCAAAAGTGAATAGGAACAAGAATAGAAGATCTCTAAAAACAGAGAGTATCTCCGGTATATAGATTGGGCCCTACCCGTATACTGTATATGTCGACTGTACGGCTCGCTCCCCCGCAACTGTACTTACCTGCTAGCGCAACTTTAGACTGGCCACTTATGGCTCGCTATCTATACTAAGCAACATAACTTCCGAGATAACAAACAGTACGAATATAGAGCGACAGAAACTGTGGTCTATGTATTAGTTGACTGCCCGCGGCTGAGTGCCCTACGGCAAGAATTGTAGAGGAAAATTGGAGGTGTGTTTAACAATATTTCAGATATACTAGGAGGAGCAGACCAAGGTAAGAAAAATAAGTTAGAAAATATCACACAGAACAGTAGCATCCTAGGGGTAGTACTGGATTTTGTAGAGGTGTTGCAGAGATTTCGAAGTTGCGCGCCACAAGGGCGGCAGAATAGAACACCAGGCAACAGCTAATACAGACCTTGACAAAACTCCAAGTTTGTCAGGAAAGTAATAGTCTACAGTTAATGGATATATATAGAGAGTATATAGTGGTTCCCTGTATATTGCTTAAGGCGAGGGGCCAGCGTATGAATAATCATCATCATCATCACTGTAGGTGAGGGGTATTGGTAGCAGATGTTGATATTATCAAGGGTGATAGGTCGCAAACTCGATGTGCCCGGAAATTGATCGGTCTGATTCTCTTCGGAGCCGTAATCCACCGTAGTTAAGAGGAATGTGGAAGTGGCGGTTAGTGTCTCGCCGCTTCACACCTTATACCACGATCAGGATTTCTGCACTACACAGCCCGATCAGTAGATAGGATCCTAACAAGGGCCCACGCCATCAAGGAGCCTAGGGTTCGCCGGTCATGCCGTGTTTATTGAAAGCCAGCCTGGTAGAGACTGGTGGCGGTACGATTGGGCTTCACATTAGGTTACGACAGGATCGCTCATCCTAACAGACCCTGGCTGTTATCATACTGTTACCTCCCAATAAGGTGTATCTGGCAGTTCGCTCAAGACAATCAAAATGCACAGCCAACGACCGACCAATTCCAGGGACTGCTCGGTGTACACGATCGGACTTACCGTAAGTCCTTTCCGAGTGTGGGGAAGGCAACACCGGCGAGGTATTTTTGCCATTGGTCTTTAGAGTCCGGTCGAGCTCGCGGCGGCAACGCTTGTCAGGTTGAATGGTCCAGAGGGAAGCACCTTCGACCAGCTGGACATGACTATGGCCGCCTGGTGGGACTCCCTCGATGCATTCTTCCAGGTCATACGGTGAAGACTGAGAAGGCTGCATTGAGACCCCCAGTAAAAGCAGGGAATCGAACTACGGACGCAGTCCATAAGTAACTCGGCGGTTTCACAACGGCAGGTTGAGGGTGGGCAGACAGAAGCTGAGCGGTCCTTGCTGGGGGATGGTTATATCTGAAGGGTAGGGGCCGGAGCAGGCTGGTCCAGTACACATAACAGGATGCCAGGGAGTCCGAGGGACGGCGTTGTGAGGGAAGTAAATGAAAGTGAAATAAGATGATTGTCGAGCAACGCACCAGCGGCCTTATATAGTTCAGCAGACAAAGTAAAGGCGGACATGGGCGGCAGATCCCTGCACGGTATAGCGCGGGACGCTAAACCCGAGCGGGTGAGCGCCAAACAGTATGAGGCACTGGACGGCGCTAAACCGGAACGAGGGAGTTGCCAGAAACGGCCGCCCCTTTGGTAAATGCGAATTGTACTAGCTATCTATTTTCTCTTGATATATTGTAGCTGTCTTGTCCATCGACTCCGCAGTGCAGTGTGTTTCCGATGTGTAAAAAATCTTTCCATAGCTTTCCAAGTATACCTTTTTTCCTTCAAGATCAAAATAAGTTCGTCCTCAGCTTCTGAGAAGCGCCTCCCTGTCTTGCAGTAATCAAATTCTTCACTCTCTGCAAAAACCGGCTCTGATCCACCAAGTGCTTCGTCGAATTCTGGGCTTCTAGATATATCTGTGTGTTTGTCTCTTCTTGTCTGTGCCGGGTAAGGTAAGAAACCTCTAATCACAAATGAGTTACCTAGGCTTCCGGGCGAGAGCTCTAGATATCCATTGATTGCAATTCGCTCGGAATAGTGTTGCTCAGCTGGATCAGACGTCTCTTCTAATGAAGTAGTATCGGAGTCCCGGGTAAAAGAGTGTTTCAAATGTTGCTGATGCTCTTGATGTAAAGGTTGATAGGCTAAGGGTACCGGTCTGACAAAGCCTGCCTTCGGAAGACGTTGTCTTTGCGCAGATTTAGAAGATGTAGAGGGTCTTATTTTAGTCCTAGGGCGGTTTGGCTGAGAACCTGACCCTGCGCTAGTTTGTCTTTTTCGCTGAAGGCGGCTTTGTGGTCCAACCTCTTCGTCGCTAGTACTTGATTGACGCTGAAAATCGAGATCATCAGGATCATCGTTGTCTTCACTGGAAAGGATCGTCTCTGCATCCAAAGTAGGAGATATACATCTCCGTGGTACTACAACCTCCACACGTGGTACCGTATATCCACTAGTTCTTACATGAGGCTGTGTCTGGTTATTCCGGTTGGGTGATATGTGTTTTGAATGGTGATCATCATGGCTCCTAGCTTGCTTCTCTCCGGGTGAATGTTGATCCTCTGGGGTGCAGGACAGAGCGGTAGACTTGGTAAGTGTCGCGCCTACCTCTATAGAGGACCGATGATCTCTCGTTTGGCCTGAGGCACATGTCAGCTTGTTAGGCCACATCTATAGAGACTGAAAGACAGCATAATAATATATAGCTTACCGTCTTGGTGGTTATTCACGATATATTCCTGTAAAGAGAATCTGTCTGATCCGCTATGCGATAGCATACAATGAGGATGTATACTAGGTAGATCCTCAGTCTTACTTAGCCTGCGCAATTGTGACTTCACACTGCAGGGGCTATCGCCTTCCTCTACGCCCTTGCCCAGATTAGGGCTTGGTATAGAGGACACGTGATTTGCAGACAAGTGCTCCGCGGCAGGGGGGAGACTGAACAGCTGGTGGCTGGTAGATACCTGCAGATTTGGGCATTGGTGGGACTCAGGTTTCTCTCTGCAAAGGCTATTGTCTAAAGCCCTTGTTATTAAGGGGGTTGTTTCCACATTCGCAGATGATGGATTATATATGACTTCGGCGATACCGGAGTTGGAAGCTCCTTCCAGGGATGAGGCTAGACTCTCACCAGGAAATGAGACTAGTGGTTTCTTTGGAAGGGGGTGATTCAGAGATTGTATCCCGGGTAGTGATAATAATGCAGGTTCAGGAGCTGGCTGTTCTGTCTTGCTTGTTTCTTGAGCTAATGGTAACGTAGCTTTGCTGTGGGGTGGAAGGGGTTTAGAAGGCTTTGGGGACTTGGGGGCACTGGGGGGCTTATAGAACCGAATATTATTCATTCTCAGAAGTATAGTAAACCACTAAGAGGTTGCTTGCAGGTCACGTATTGATTGTAGACTGGCCGCTGGTATGGGGGTGGTTGGGAAGGTTGGGTATTGTGATAGTTTGATGGACAGAGTAGACTGCAGTATCAGCAGAAGGAATTTGTTCATATTAACCACAACCATATTTATAGTATAATCTATGAGGATACAATCTGCGGGCTATACATAGTATTAAAGATTAGCTGTTCTTCATTACATAGAATTTGCCCCAAGTCGATAAGGCAAGTATGCTGCATACCAGACTTACTGCATATGTAAAGAATGTACATACTACATACATACTAGCTAGACTGGCGTTTGGCTAGGTTAGGTTAGGTTAATGGGGTCAG